ATAACCCACACTATTACTACATAATCTGAGTGTTATAAATACATTTAGCATATTTTTAATTGACATTGTGCGTGTCTTTTTTCTGTTTGTTGCTGTGCATCTGTGATGATGCTGTTTGAGTCTCTTCAGTGACAACAAGCAGAAAACTGGACACCGATAAATGAACAGGGTAAACTTAAACACACATTATTCCACCATAAGAGTGTTACAAATACATTCAGCTTCTTTAATTGTCATTGTGCACGTCCTTCTGAACAATCTCCAATGTGTATCTTCTCCTTTTCTTAATGTGCATCTGTGCTGCTTTTTGAGTCACCTCAATGACAACGAGCTGGGAAAGTCAGTCACTGCTCACCGATAAAGTATTAGGTAAATTCAATAACTCACATTATTAATTCATAATCCTAATGTAACATAATAAATATGCACCTATTAAATCAACATTTTGCATGTCCTTCTGAACATTTCTAATATATTGTTCTGTTTGTTGTGCATCTGTGCTGCTGTTTGAGTCTCTTCTGTGACAAGAGGCAGAAATGTCCCTACGCACCAATTAATTATGAAGGTAAATTCAGTTACCCATATTTATGCTACATAAATAAATATAACATATGTATTCTGCATCTATTTAATAATCAGGTTTCACTGTAGTCTCTAATACTTATTTTGTCTGTTTGTGGTGCATCTATGATGCTGTTTGAGTATCTTCAATGACAACGGGCAAGAAAGGTAATCTGAATGTTACATAAATTCTGCATCTTTCTGATTGTCATGGTGCATGTCTTTCTAAACAAACTAATATGTTTATTCTCTGTTTGTTGTGCATCTGTGCCACTGTTTGAGTCACTTCAATTGACAACAGGCAGGAAAGAAAGGTCAGTAGCTGCACACTTAGAAATGAATACAGTAAATTCAATAACACTCATTATTATTATTATTATAATTATTATTATTATTATTATATAATCTGAATGATTATTTCCTTCTGAACAATCTCTACCATTTATCTTCTCTGTTTGTTACTGCACATCTGGTAACGAGCAAGAATGTTCAGTCACGACACACCAATAAATCAATAAGGTAAATTCAATAACCCACACTATTACTACATAATCTGAATGTTATAAATACATTTAGCATCTTTTTAATTGACATTGTGCGTGTCTTTTTTCTGTTTGTTGCTGTGCATCTGTGATGATGCTGTTTGAGTCTCTTCAGTGACAACAAGCAGAAAACTGGACAACAATAAATGAACAGGGTAAATTTAAACACACATTATTACACCATAAGAGTGTTACAAATACATTCAGCTTCTTTAATTGTCATTGTGCACGTCCTTCTGAACAATCTCCTATATTAATCTTCTCCTTTTCTTAATGTGCATCTGTGCTGCTTTTTGAGTCACCTCATTGGCAACAAGCAGGAAAAGTCAGTCACTGCACACCGATAAAGTATTAGGTAAATTCAATAACTCACATTATTAACTCATAATCTCAATGTAACATAATAAATATGCACCTATTGAATCAACATTTTGCATGTCCTTCTGAACATTTCTAATATATTGTTCTGTTTGTTGTGCATCTGTGCTGCTGTTTGAGTCTCTTCTGTGACAAGAGGCAGAAATGTCACTACGCACCAATTAATTATGAAGGTAAATTCAGTTACCCATATTTATGCTACATAAATAAATATAACATATGTATTCTGCATCTATTTAATAATCAGGTTTCACTGTAGTCTCTAATACTTATTTTGTCTGTTTGTGGTGCATCTATGATGCTGTTTGAGTATCTTCAATGACAACGGGCAAGAAAGGTAATCTGAATGTTACATAAATTCTGCATCTTTCTGATTGTCATGGTGCATGTCTTTCTAAACAAACTAATATGTTTATTCTCTGTTTGTTGTGCATCTGTGCCACTGTTTGAGTCACTTCAATTGACAGCAGGCAGGAAAGGTCAGTAGCTGCACACTTATAAATGAACACAGTAAATTCAATAACACACATTATTATTATGCCATAATCTGGATGATTATTTCCTTCTGAACAATCTCTACATTTACTGTATCTTCTCTGTTTGTTACTGCACATCTGGTAACGAGCAAGAATGTTCAGTCACGACACACAAATAAATCAATAAGGTAAATTCAATAACCCACACTATTACTACATAATCTGAGTGTTATAAATACATTTAGCATATTTTTAATTGACATTGTGCGTGTCTTTTTTCTGTTTGTTGCTGTGCATCTGTGATGATGCTGTTTGAGTCTCTTCAGTGACAACAAGCAGAAAACTGGACACCGATAAATGAACAAGGTAAACTTAAACACACATTATTCCACCATAAGAGTGTTACAAATACATTCAGCTTCTTTAATTGTCATTGTGCACGTCCTTCTGAACAATCTCCAATGTGTATCTTCTCCTTTTCTTAATGTGCATCTGTGCTGCTTTTTGAGTCACCTCAATGACAACGAGTTGGAAAAGTCAGTCACTGCACACCGATAAAGTATTAGGTAAATTCAATAACTCACATTATTAACTCATAATCTCAATGTAACATAATAAATATGCACCTATTGAATCAACATTTTGCATGTCCTTCTGAACATTTCTAATATATTGTTCTGTTTGTTGTGCATCTGTGCTGCTGTTTGAGTCTCTTCTGTGACAACAGGCAGAAATGTCGCTACGCACCAATTAATTACGAAGGTAAATTCAGTTATCCGTATTCATCCTGCATAAATGAAATGTAACATATGTATTGTGCATCTATTTATTAATCAGGCTTCACTGAATAGTCTCTAATACTTATTTTGTTTGTTTGTGGTGCATCTATGATGCTGCTTGAGTATCTTTAATGACATCGGGCAAGAAAGGTAATCTGAATCTTACACATAAATTTTGCATCTTTCTGATTGTCATGGTGCATGTCTTTCTAAACAAACTATTATGTTTATTCTCTGTTTGTTGTTGTGCATCTGTGATGGTGCTGTTTGAGTCTCTTCAGTGACAACAAGCAGAAAACTGGACAACAATAAATGAACACGGTAAATTTAAACACACATTATTCCACCATAAGAGTGTTACAAATACATTCAGCTTCTTTAATTGTCATTGTGCACGTCCTTCTGAACAATCTCCAATGTGTATCTTCTCCTTTTCTTAATGTGCATCTGTGCTGCTTTTTGAGTCACCTCAATGACAACGAGCTGGGAAAGTCAGTCACTGCACACCGATAAAGTATTAGGTAAATCCATTTACTCACATTATTAACTCATAATCTCAATGTAACATAATAAATATGGACCTATTGAATCAACATTTTGCATGTCCTGAACATTTCTAATATATTGTTCTGTTTGTTGTGCATCTGTGCTGCTGTTTGAGTCTCTTCTGTGACAACAGGTAGAAATGTCGCTACACACCAATTAATTATGAAGGTAAATTCAGTTACCCATATTTATGCTACATAAATAAATATAACATATGTATTGTGCATCTATTTAATAATCAGGTTTCACTAAATAGTCTCTAATACTTATTTTGTCTGTTTGTGGTGCATCTATGATGCTGTTTGAGTATCTTCAATGACAACGGGCAAGAAAGGTAATCTGAATGTTACACATAAATTCTGCATCTTTCTGATTGTCATGGTGCATGTCTTTCTAAACAAACTAATATGTTTATTCTCTGTTTGTTGTTGTGCATCTGTGCCACTGTTTGAGTCACTTCAATTGACTGCAGGCAGGAAAGGTCAGTAGCTGCACACTTATAAATGAACACAGTAAATTCAATAACACACATTATTATTATTATGCCATAATCTGGATGATTATTTCCTTCTGAACAATCTCTACATTTACTGTATCTTCTCTGTTTGTTACTGCACATCTGGTAACGAGCAAGAATGTTCAGTCACGACACACCAATAAATGAATAAGGTAAATTCAATAACCCACACTATTACTACATAATCTGAGTGTTATAAATACATTTAGCATCTTTTTAATTGACATTGTGCGTGTCTTTTTTCTGTTTGTTGCTGTGCATCTGTGATGATGCTGTTTGAGTCTCTTCAGTGACAACAAGCAGAAAACTGGACAACGATAAATGAACAGGGTAAACTTAAACACACATTATTACACCATAAGAGTGTTACAAATACATTCAGCTTCTTTAATTGTCATTGTGCACGTCCTTCTGAACAATTTCCTATATTAATCTTCTCCTTTTCTTAATGTGCATCTGTGCTGCTTTTTGAGTCACCTCATTGGCAACAAGCAGGAAAAGTCAGTCACTGCACACCGATAAAGTATTAGGTAAATTCAATAACTCACATTATTAACTCATAATCTCAATGTTACATAATAAATATGCACCTATTAAATCAACATTTTGCATGTCCTTCTGAACATTTCTAATATATTGTTCTGTTTGTTGTGCATCTGTGCTGCTGTTTGAGTCTCTTCTGTGACAACTGGCAGAAATGTCACTACACAAATTAATTACGAAGGTAAATTCAGTAATCCATATTTATGCTACATAAATAAATGTAGCATATGTATTCTGCATCTATTTATTAATCAGGTTTCACTGTAGTCTCTAATACTTATTTTGTCTGTTTGTGGTGCATCTATGATGCTGTTTGAGTATCTTTAATGACATCGGGCAAGAAAGGTAATCTGAATCTTACACATAAATTCTGCATCTTTCTGATTGTCATGGTGCATGTCTTTCTAAACAAACTAATATGTTTATTCTCTGTTTGTTGTTGTGCATCTGTGCCACTGTTTGAGTCACTTCAATTGACTGCAGGCAGGAAAGGTCAGTAGCTGCACACTTAGAAATGAACACAGTAAATTCAATAACACACATTATTATTATTATTATTATTATATAATCTGAATGATTATTTCCTTCTGAACAATCTCTACCATTTATCTTCTCTGTTTGTTTCTGCACATCTGGTAACGAGCAAGAAAGGTCAGTCACAACACACCAATAAATGAATAAGGTAAATTCAATAACCCACACTATTACTACATAATCTGAATGTTATAAATACATTTAGCATATTTTTAATTGACATTGTGCGTGTCTTTTTTCTGTTTGTTGCTGTACATCTGTGATGATGCTGTTTGAGTCTCTTCAGTGACAACAAGCAGAAAACTGGACAACAATAAATGAACAGGGTAAACTTAAACACACATTATTACACCATAAGAGTGTTACAAATACATTCAGCTTCTTTAATTGTCATTGTGCACCTCCTTCTGAATAATTTCCTATATTAATCTTCTCCTTTTCTTAATGTGCATCTGTGCTGCTTTTTGAGTCACCTCAATGACAACGAGCTGGGAAAGTCAGTCACTGCACACCGATAAAGTATTAGGTAAATTCAATAACTCACATTATTAATTCATAATCCTAATGTAACATAATAAATATGCACCTATTGAATTAACATTTTGCATGTCCTTGTGAACATTTCTAATATATTGTTCTGTTTGTTGTGCATCTGTGCTGCTGTTTGAGTCTCTTCTGTGACAAGAGGCAGTAATGTCGCTACACACCAATTAATTAGTCACCTCAATGACAACGAGCTGGAAAAGTCAGTCACTGCACACCGATAAACTACCAAGGTAAATTTAGATCCCACATAATCTGATTGTTAAACTTCATTTTAATTCTCATCCTGTGTGTGTGTGTGTTTGTGTGTGTCCTTCTAATCAATCGCTAATATCCGTTTCTTGTTGTGCATCTGTCCTGCTGTTAGAGTCACCTCACTGGCATCGGGCAAGAAAGGTCAACGCAGACTGATAAATTAATAAGGTAAATTCACCACAAATTCAATTACTGCATAATCTGAGTGTTACAAATTTGTTTAGCATCTATTAAACGGTCATTGTGCAAATCCTTGTAATCAATTGATAATATGTATCTTCTCTGTTTCTTGTTGTGCATCAAAGGCTTCTGTTTAGGTCTCTTCAAATGACAACAGCTAAGGAAGCCTAGTCACTGCTTACAGATAATTGAATATGGTAAATAATAATTCATTAGGTTTTAATTAAGATGGTTTTGAAATATTACTTTAATCATGGATTTTTTTGTGGCCAACTCTGCTTCATTCCAGCTCTCCAACAGCTGACGGAGTTTTAAAGCCCAAGCATCGGCCAGTTAAATATGACTGCATCACTGGCAAACTACAGTGCTCTTTTGACCAGCCTTCAGCCAGTCCAGCTCCAAAACTTTGACTGCTGTTTTTGTCACATAGAATGGGCCGTTCCAACGAAATCTGCCCCGTCACAAGTGCCACAACTTCTTATTCATTTGAAAAACAAATAAAGCACTAGTTTCTGATTACTGTTTTTGTGTCATTTAATTTCTGTAGAAATTAAAATGACCCAAAAAAGAACCAAAATGACCTCACAACAGAATTTGCCCCTTGCTCTTTACGGTAAATATCTATTTTTTTGTTATCAATCTAGTCCATTGATTCTTGACACCATTTTACAACAAAAATTATGGTTCCACTTTCCTTTTTTTTTTGGAAATAGAGTGATTTTACTACTCTCCAGAGTTCAACAGTTGAGTCTTACCGTGTTTAAATCTTTTTAGCCAAGCTGGATGGAGGCACTTTTAGCTTAGCTTAGCATAGATAATTGAATCAGATTAGACCATTAGCATCTGGCACAAACATAACCAATGAGTTTTCCCATTTAAATCTTGACTCTTCTGTACTTACATTGTATACTAAGACTGATAAAAAAAATGGAAAAGTTGCTATTTTCTTGGCAGATATGTCTAAACAAAGCTATACTCTCATTCTGGCCTAATAATCAAGGAACTTTGCTGCAGTTCAATGGCGGCAGCAGGCACAATGATATTACACAGCACCTGAAAATCGTGCTACAATCGAGACATTTCTGAAAGATGATTCTGAATTATTTTGAGGCACTACATAATTTTAATGCGACTGCTACAATCGTGAGAAAAGTTTCAAGAAGTAAAGTGTTTTTTTTAACCTTAAATCAGCACCAAACCACAATGCATCTTTAGGAGAGACTATTATTACTATTGGGCAGCATGGTGGCGCAGTGGGTAGCACTTTTACCTCAGCAAGAAGGTCACTGGTTCGAGTCCCGTCTGGGTCAGTTGGCATTTCTGTTTGGAGTTTGCATGTTCTCCTCGTGTTCGCGTGGGTTTCCGGTTTCCATTTCTATAGGTGAATTGGGTAAGCTAAATTGTTCGTAATGTATGTGTGTGAATGAGTGTGTATGGATGTTTCCCAGTGATGGGTTGCAGCTGTAAGGGCATCCGCTGAGTAAAACATGCTGGATAAGTTGGCGGTTCATTCCGCTGTGGCGACCCCAAATTAAAAAAGGGTCTAAGCCGAAAAGAAAATGAATATTATTACTATTTATCACTATTTATGTTTGAGCTATTTTGTTGTAAAAATGGTATAATTTTAGTCTTCTGCTTGCTATTTTTTTAAATAGATGAGACTATAATTGGATTAAAACATGACTTTATTAAATAAAATGAATGTAAACCTGTTAACGGAGCACATTTTGCAAGAGATTACGATTACAAATACTAAAGAACTCAGTATAGCTCCAGTGTCTCTGGAAGACGAAGGTGATGGATGTGATTTGTCCCTTTAGAGCAAATATATCGCAATACCTTTGTAAATTTACAATAGTGAGCTTATAATGCAAGCCCAACTTTCACTAGCTCATATATGTCAGTAAAGTGCTAAGGTGTGTTCATGTGAGAGACATTTAAAGTGTCAACACAACCAAAAAAGCAAATAGAATCAATCATTTTAGATGACCAAAGTGGGAAAGAAAAAATATATAAGAAAAAAAGTTGTGTTTTTGCTTGTTCATATGACTAAGTATAATAGCTTTACTCTATGCGTGCTGTACATTAAAGAACAGGAACTAAGACTGGGGTAGCTTTATTAAGATATTTTACAAAACAATTGCTTCACCTTATAAATTAATATAAAAAAAGAAAGGTCAATGTTTGGTCATTGGCATACAAGTACATTGTATATTAACATTTTAAATAATTTACACATTAATCTTGTAAAAGAAACACCTTTAGGCAAATAGGCTCACTTTATTACCTAAACAGTTAAGTTCTATCATTTTTGTATCTATTTAGCCGATGTCCTGGTCTGGCGGAAGCACTTTTAGCTTAGCTTAGCATAAATCATTGAATCGGATTAGACCATTAGCATCTAATATCTTTGGTAATTTTCCTACTTATAGCTTTACCCTTCTGTCAAACCTGTAACCAAGAGGTTTGCCCAGTATGCTGAAATTCACAAAAACAGGAATTGACAGTCAAACTTTCAATCTATTTTGTACGTTTTAGCATACCTTGCTTTATATATTTTATATATTTAAACATTTTACTGACTAAATTTTGCTTGGTACATTGTGAAAATGAGAAGTTGATATTTTCTTAGTATGGCTAGGAACTATGCTCCCATTCTGGCATAATAATCAAGGAGCTTTAATTTACATTAAACTTAGCACACAATGTAACTAACAATGTGACATTTTTTGAGTGGGATGCTAATGGTCTAATCCGATTCAATGATCTATGCTAAGCTAAGCTAAAAGTCCTCCCACCAGATCCAGAAATCGTCTAAATGGATTTAAAAAGGTCACACTTTATTTTGATGGTTTAAGTTTCTAATAGTCAGTTAAATGTCTGTTGAAGGAGCAGTATCAACAGATATTAAGCAGACAGTCTAATACTAAAATGGACCATCAAAATAAAGTGTTACCTTCAAAAATGGTAACACTCAACTCAAAGGGACTTGTAAAATGAGTCAATTAAAAAAAAATGTTCCTCAATATCAGCATCCAATGTTCTTCCTCAGTGATGCACTGATCAAAAGTAGTAGAAACTTCTGGCGACTTTAAAAGCAGCAGAAGTGCCCACGTATGGTGTGATGACTGTGGTGTTTTCTGTGGTTTGTTTATAATGTCCAAAGTACTGAATCTGGTAGGTTCCTGCTTGAGCTGTTTGCGGGATGTGCCACTCCACTTTAGCCTGACTCCTGCCCGCGAGTCCTTTAATCCAGTGAAACCTGGTCACAAACACATTTAGATTTATGCATTTGAGGACGCTTTTATTGAAAGCCCAAATGAAAAATAATTATATATATACAGTTGAAGTCAAAATTTTTAGCCCCCAATTTTAGACACTTCTATACAGCTTAAAGTGACATTTAAAGGGGCTAATAATATCTTAAAAGCGCTAATAATTTTGTCCTTAAAATGGCTTTTAAAAAATTTGAAACTGCTTTTATTCTATCCGAAATAAAACAAGTAAGACTTTCTCCAGAGGAAAAAATATTATCAGACATGCTGTGAAAATTTCCTTGCTCTGTTAAACATCGTTTGGGAAATATTTAAAAAAAGAAAAAAATCAATTTATGAAAAAATATTATCTTAATTTATTGTAAATACTAAATTAATTCATTTGTTGTGATAATTTGCTGTGGTAATATGCATGTATGCATTCATGTATTTATTATGCCATATCAGCAGAATTGGTTACATTCATGACACATTTGGTAATACATGATACAATACATGATTTTTATAATCATAACAGTTTCCTAATAATCAAAGCATTAATCAACAAAAATATTAATAAAAGGTCATTTAAGATCTTTCACTTTAGTCATCTACTGTTATGCAAACAAATTTTATACCTTTAACTCATTTTTACCACAGTAAACTGGTGTTTTGTTAAGTATAGTATTTACAGTATTTATCAACAGTATGCTGTAGCATTCATTAACCGCTATATAATATGTAAATATAATATAGTATACACAGTAGAATACATTTTACTGTAGCATGGTTTAAAAAAGCAGTAGTGTTTACAAACTCACAATTTACAATATTGTTATTATTATTTGCCATAAACCTGTAACCAAGAATTTGCCTACACTCCAAAAAAAATAGGTTTGCTGCTTGTTAAAACTACCTAACTAAAATGATTTGAAACAAAACAATTGTTAAGTTTTACGGACAGATTAATTGTTTTATGTTCAGTCAACTTAACATAGTAAAAAACAAAGTTAACTTAATCGATTTGCATTGGGATGACATGAAGGGATTCTGCATTTTGTACAGGTTGGGCCATTTATATGGATACAACATACCCGTCAATCCTCCTGTTTTTCTCGGGATTCTCCAGTATTTTACAGTTTTATCCCGCTATCATCCTGTAAAGGTATTTTCCCGTATTTCTCTCGTATTTTCAGTCTTTCTTAAGAGCCCCTTGCTCTTAAATGCAAGCTTGTTCTGTGCTTTCGCTTTGTTTAGGCACAAAAACACTGAAATAAACATATTTAAAATAAATACTTCCTTTTCATCACAGGTGCAGTCGCCCCTTCATATGGAATCCTCAAACAGTCATATAGTGGTGCGTGACTGTCAGCTGACGTGTTCCATAGTGATAAATAGATGCTGTTTCCCAAACTGATACTGTGCACACGATATGAACCGGAGCGAAAGTATGGGTTTTGGGTGCGTTTGAACAGACATATACACATAATTAATAATATTAATATCCCTCAAAAAATCCCTCAAATCATAATGTTGACAGGTATGGGATATACCTTAAAGGGTCACGAAACACCAAAACACATTTGAGCTGTTGACAGTGGTATATGTGTCCCACACTGCTAAAAACACTATTAGGACGCCTATATTTCACTAAAAAGTGTAAATTGGTTGTTTTTGCGTTATTTTAAGCAAATTCGTACTTCCTGTTTGAAACTAATTTTTGAAGCTGCGTCACGGTCATGACATAATAGCGTGTATTCCAGCGTGCAGACTGGGCGTCTGTGCCAGAGTGAGTCTTATTGCGTCTTACAGTGTGATGCATTAATGCATGAGTAAGGCTTGGTTCAAACCAATCAGCACGCTCTATTGTGCAACTTCATTAATATTCATTAGTGTCACCGTGTTAACGCCACAGAGACGCCACGTTGTGTTGGCAAAACAAGCGTGAAGTGTTGCTTTTATAGTTTGCTGCCATTAAGTTTCGTTTGCATTTTCTCTCTGTGAGAGCTCAGCTGGATCACGTGTGGATTAACAGTGTACGCGACGCTCGACAACAATAACTTACGTGTCTAAGGAGGAACATTGTTTACCTGAGAGCGGGGAAAAAATGGGAATGGTTGGTGATATTGATGTCCTGTTTGTGGCACATTAGTATATGTGAGGGGGCTTGTAAATAACTCATGAAAGAATAAAGTTACGTTTAAAACCAAGCACACCATTGTTTTTTTTTTTTTTGTGGTGGTGGTGGTGGGGGGGGGTTGAGGGGGGAATTCCTAAAGTTTATTAAGGTGTATCCATATAAATGGCCCTCGCTGTACAGTGTTCTCTCGAAATATGACATCTGCTGCTTGTTCAAACTACTTATCTAAAATGAGCTGAAACAACACACTTCTTGAGTTTTTTGGTTCAACTAAATTGTTTTACGTTCAATTAACTTAAATGCGTAACAAACTAACAAGTCAACTTAATTCCTTCATGTTGTCTCAACACAACTTGATTGCATTAAACCCAGCATTTTTACAATGTAATTATGCCTTAAAGTCATAGAAACCGGCAATGAAAAATTTGAATCAATATTCAGTCAATAAACTTTCAATCAAAGATCCAGAGTTTCCATTTCACTGACCACATTTTGCTTAGTTAGTACATAAACACACACTGCCTAATCTAGAATTACTATAGAGATCATACGTGGATTTCGGCCTGAGGATTAGACCGGCTATATAATAAGTGATAAGAGCTTGACTCAGCATTTGCCTTATCAGACCTTGAGACATACCGTCAGCTTTATTAACACATCAATGTGTAATTATAGAATGATTCAAACATATAAAACATAAACATTAGCATAGCGAGCATTTACAACTTTATCAAACATCTTCAGCATGTATGCAGCAACAACATTACCTTGTTTCCCATGATGCGTCGTTGTGAATTATTTCCCATGAGCCTGTGTCGTTGTGAAACCTCTCCACGGTGACCAGTGTCGTATCTCTCTGATATCATAATCACCATAGATTAGCTATATCTCACACACAATGCAGCACGTTTTGCAAGAGATTACTTTATTGGAACTTACAATATCTCCAGAGTGCCTCGGGTTTCCAGAAACAAATGTGACGGATGCGATTTCACCCTTTAGAACAAATAAATAACATGTATCTTTTGTCAATTTACTGTACAATAATGAGCAAAAGTAGCTAGCTTTGTTTTCGATAGTTTCAGGTGTGTTCATGTAAGATATTTAAAGAGTTAGCTCCTACAAAATTACAGGAATTATTTAGAGACCCTGATTTTGCTGCGGTGATATATACTGTATGGACCTTTTTATTTTTGGAATTATAATTAATTACAAAATAAAAGCCTGTTCGCTCTTGCATTCATATAATGGAAGCTAACCCGATCAGCATTAAATATATATATTTTAAATGGAAACATGTGGCATATCCAAGTTATTCCTGGGATATATGACTAAGTTTGGTGAAAAGCAAACCAAAATGTAACACATAAAGTGCAAAAGATACAGCCCTTTTTACAGTCATTTGCTGTAATCATACCCGCCTTAATCTCACAGTAAAATTCTGAATAAAATATATTACTGTGAATTTTTACAGTTAAATCCTGTAAAGTGATACTAATGTAATTTACTGTGACAAGTTACAGTAACGTTGTGAAATTCTGGGATTTTTTTTTTTTTTTGTATCTTTTAATGAAAATCCTTGAGCTACTTGTTAACAAAACTATTGCCAATGCATTTGTACTTCTACTCAGCCAGGAAAAGCAAAGATCTTATTTTTATTAGAGTAAGCTGTGTTGTATTGTAAAGTATAATACAGTATTTATTAGAGTTTAACTCTTCACGATAGTTAATACTACAGTATGATTTAGCATTCATTAACAAACATTGTTAATAACATAATATACTGTACGATCTATTATTAAATTTAGAGTTTAGTTATAATTATTTAGAAAAATTAAGATAAAAAAGAACACAAATGTGCAGTTTCTTAAGTCTACAGCATTAATGAATTTTGTAAATACACAGTATTTAACTGTAATAGGAACTGTATTTTACTGTAGGACAGTTATGCAGTATGCTACTGTATTTTAAATTTGGATTGTGAAAATTACTGTATTTTTACAGTAAAGATACACAGCACAGTAAATACATCTACAGCAACATAAATGGTGATGTAAATGAAAATACAGTATTTTTGCTGTAATAGATTTACAGTAAGTTACTGCTAAACTGCTGCCAGTAAGTAACCGTAGAATCTACAGGAAAATTTTTATGCAATTGTTTCCCCACAACTCATGGAAAAAATGTAAAGTCACAAGACACTACTATATTTCATTATACTTATTAGGTATATATTTTTTAAAGTTTAATTCCTTTCTATTATTTGGTTAAGTAAGAACTGGACATGTTTCTTTTATTTCTCCTAAAATAAGTAAAGAATATGCGAGAAATACAACACTGTAAACAAATCTGTAATTTTACGGTTTATTTGCAGCAGCTGGGGTGCTGAAAAAAAAAAGTAAAATAACGGCCATTAGATAAATTTATTGTAAAATAGCAGATATTAAATTACAGTAATTTGCCAGAAATTTAAATTTAAGGAAATTACTTTAATTTAATATCCGTTATTTTACGGTATATTTCTGTATTTTAAAGGCCGTAATTTTACAGTTTTTTTACGGATTTTTTTTACAGTAAAAGTTAACTTAAACAATTACGACTTTTTACTACTTGTTATGCAAATTTGTGTCACGAATCCAAAATAATAGTAAACATATACAATACATTCCACAACAAAACACTTGAGATTATATATTTTAAATAAAATAGAGTAAAAAGTCAAGTAAAAGGAAATTTTACTTGAGTAAAATCTGTGGCAAGCTTTTTTTGAAAAAAACAAAAAAAACAAAAGATCTCCCCAATCTGTGAATTTGTATTGAGATGATTGGATTTTGTCCTTGATATATAGCAAAATGTGACCTTATTACAGTACAGTATTGACTTACCACTTTGTAGACAGGGTTAACCTCCTGCAAGACATCTCCAAAGGTGGTGCCAACTGGTGCTACATCTGCCACCGGGTCTCTTACTTGATTAAAAAGTTTGTCTTCATCAAAGAAAGGGGGTTCGGGTCCCTTTGGCAGCTCTCCTATTGTCCCCTGTGGGAGATTTGTTCATTCATGAGATCAGCCAGATCATTTAAATTCATCAGAAATATGCAAATGAATTAAAGGTGGAGAGTTACATGAGCTATGGCTTTGGCCAGGCCTCTGTAGCGCTGGATGTACGCGGAGAGAGTGTGAGGGCCAAAAATGGTGGATGCTCCTTCATATCGCTGGATCTAAGAGAGTCGGGGGAAAATCATTTGAAAAGATAGCACAGATACAGTTGAAGACAAAATTGTGAGCCCTGCTGTGAAGTTTTCATCTTTTGTCAAATATTTCTCAGTGTTTTAGTATTTAGTTTTTTTTAGTTTGGCCGAAATATTTTTTTTTAAATGAATAAATAAAACTGCTAAGGTTAATGTTTATGTTAAGTACGTTTTTTTATTATTATTATCTTTTTAGATAATAAGGCTACAGATCAAACCACTGTTGTAGAGGTCTGCATTCCCTTGGCTGAGCGGCGGGACCCGGCCAGATTTCTTTTGGCGCGGTAATAAATTTCCGAATCAAGTGCGGGAGCGGTCAGTAACTGGTGTAATTTTGGACAGGGGCAGTTGGTCTAACAATATCGGTCCCGACTCCCGAGCGAGCGAGCACGCAAATGTATGTATGTGTGTAAATTAGACAGCGTGATGCTGCGTTTAGCTTGTTTGTTGCTGTGTGTGTGGTGTGTGTGTGTGTGTGTGTGTGTGTGTGTATGAGAGAGAGCATGATGTTGCTGTCTGTGTGTGTGTCACTTGCTTGATGATGTGTGTGTGTGTTTGTACAGACAGCGTGTTATAAGGCTGTCTGGACTCTGTATAGCTGGGTGGTTTACGGTTTTGTTCTCCCCCCCGCTCATTAGCAGGAATGGGCGCGGCGGGTAGAAAACGGAGCGGGACAACAAATGCTGACCATAAGCGGGAGCAGTCGGGTTTGGACTAAAACCTGGAGGGTGCGGGCGGGAGCGGGATTTAAAATTCAATCCAGCGCAGATCTCTACACTGTTGTCCACTTACCTTGTCTAGTTTATCTAACTAAACTTTAAATTGCACTTTTAGCTGAATATCAGTATCCTGCAAAATACAGTATAATGTATTGCCATCATGGAAAAGACCAAATGAGTTATTAGACATTAGTTATTAAAACTATTGGATTAAAATGCACTGGAAAAAATCTGTCAAACAATTACTGCACATCCTACACAACTCTGGTGTGATTGTTCTGTAAGTGTAGTTCATTTAAAAAAGCAATCTAAAAAGGACGATTTAGCTAAAAAGTAAGTCTCAGTCCACTCACTCCCATTTTTATGCAAATTTTTATGGACCTTTCCTCTTTCCCCTCCTCCGATACTCCCCCCTAAACAGAGCTGGGCACGCCCACTTTCCTGACTTTTTCCAAAGTAGAGTTGTAAAAAAAACCTGCTGAAACAAGGGGGTTTCATGGCCCTTTAAATCGACGACAGAACAAGCTTAGCTCTCCTTCTCTTCTTTGCAGAGTTTTCGATTTTCAAATTTGTGGTATTCGTTTTGAATCCCCCTGTGTATTTGGATACAAAAACCTTGTAATAAACTGCCAGTACTTATTTCTCTATATATTAGTTCTTACACATTAAAGTATTTCAAACAACTTGAATATGAACAAAAGTCACTTTGTTAAACTGCAGAGTTGAATTTTCCGCATCAAAAGTCGACAGAAAGGAGATCAAGATCCCATAATGCAATTAATAACCGTAAAAAAAAATGTCACTTGTGAATCACAAAACACGAAAACTGTTTTGCTAGACTGTAGTGGGAATATATATTTTTTTAAAAAATCTAATTTGATAGAAAGGCTTATATATTTCATCATATCATGGCTGTCATCTCTTATTGCCATGGTCTGTACCTTGAAGCACCATAAATATCATGACTGTTATGAATGTTATGGCCGCAGTATTTGTTCAGTACACATCAATGATCAACCAAAGCCAAGTACCTGGTACTCTTCATATGTGGTGATGTAGTGGGTGTAGATGTTGCACAGACCAGCGACCACCACTTCTGCGTTAGTGAAAGGTTCCTTTACCTCCAGCTCCTGTGCAAATGATTGAAATTTCAACTTTTACAAAATAAGTCACTACATACCCCAATAAATATTTATATTTGTGTGAGTATACTACTGATTGGCATATAACTAAATACTATTAGAAAAGAAACAATTTAAAGGGACAGTTCAACTAAAATATCATTTTCAAAAATATAATTTTCATGAACAGAAAACTCCAGATATGAGTATTAAATTTACAGCAAAATCTCTGGTCATTTTTTAAGCCAGATGCTAATGGTCTAATCCGATTCAATTAACTATGCTAAGCTAAATGAGCTTAAAACTCAACTGTTAAACTTTAGGAGACTTTCAGGAGAACTTTTTTGCTGCTTGTTCAATCTATTTATTTAAAATGAGCTGAATCAACACATTTCTTGATTTAATTGGCACAACTTAATGGTTTTATGTTCAATCTACTTAAATTTGTAAAAACAACTTAGTTAATTAATCAATTTGTGTTGGAACAACATGGAGGAATTTTGTGGAACCCAGCATTTCTCACAGTGAGTAAAATTAGTTGAAAATACTTGCTCAGACAATACTAAAACATTCATTCATTCATTTTCATTTCGGCTCGTTCCCATAATTAATCGCCACAGCGGAATGAACCGCCAATACTAAAACAATAATACATAATTAAATACAGTTTTAATTGTGTCATTTTATTAGTGAGTAGTATCAAAATATTATGAGAAAAAATATTGCAAAATTAGCCAATTTTCAATAAAAAAGTAGTGTTCCTTTAAACCCAAAGTTAGTATTAAAATTTTGAAAACAGTTTTTTTTTAAGTGTAATATTTGATCATTTTCTACTGTTGTTTTTGTTGTACTGTTGCATTGATCAAATCATTCATTCATTTTCCTTCAGCTTAGTTTCTTTATTCATCAAGGGTCACCACAACGGAATGAACCGCCTACTTATCCAGCATATGTTTTACACAGCGGATGCCCTTCCAGCTGCAACCCAGTACTGGGAAACACCCATACACTTATTCACAAACATACACTATGGCCAATTTAGTTTATTCAGTTATAGCACATGTATTTGGACAGAGAGGGAAACCAGAGCACCCAAAAGAAACACGGGGAGAACATACAAACTCCACACAGAAATACCAACTGGCCCAGCTGGGACTCGAACCAGTGACCTTCTTGCTGTGAGGCGAAAGTGCTAATCACTGAGCCACCGTATTGCCCCTAGTGCAGCCTTCTGTAAAAATAAACAAATAATTTAGGTAATTCAAACTGTTCTCACCCTTTTGACGGCTTCTCTTATCCTCCTTCCTGACATGGTACTAGAACATATAAGAAAATTCAGGTTTATCAAAACTGGCTGATTATGAAGCACTGTCTCTATCAATAACCCAGATGTGACTTTTAACAAATCAACAGAACTCACGTAAATTCTCCCGGGACGGCGACTACCGCTAAAGAGCCGATAGTGATGATCTGGACGTCTACAATGGCTGGATGCCATGGAAGAGGTGAATCCATCTGAGCAAAACAACAATCCCTGTTAATATTTCAAATTCCTTATGCACTGTGCCAATTCTGGAGTTACTGTGTCTTTTGGCACATGGAAATCTAATGCTAATTACAGTTGAAGTCAAAATTATTAGCCCTCCTGTGATTTTTTTTTTTTCAGATGTTTCCCAAATGATGTTCAACGGAGCAAGGAATTTTTAACAGTATTTCCTATAATATTTTTTCTTCTTAAGAATGTCTTATTTCGGCTAGAATAAAAGCAGTTTTTATTTTTTTTAAAGCATTTTAAGGTCAATATTATTAGCCCCCTTAAGCAATATTGGATCCAGAACAAACCATCATTATACAATGACTTGCCTAATTACCACAACTTGCTTAGTTAACCTAGTTAAGCCTATAAATGTCACTTTAAGCTGAATACTAGTATCCTGAAAAATATCTAGTAGAATATTATGTACTGTCATAAAATAAATCAGTTATTAGAAAGGAGTTATTAAAACTATTATGTTTAGAAATGTGTTAAAAAAAATCAGCAGGGGTGTGGGGGGAGGGACTTGAACTGTATATCAAAAAACGGTTGGTAACATATTGTAAATTCGGACTCCATCTGTATCTGTACCTCCCCAGTGCTGAAGAGGATTGGTTTAGGCTGATGGCAAGCCTTGGTTTCATTGGATGGTGGTCCCAAAACAGCATCTCTTATGCCATCCCAGAAAGGGTCTCCTTCCGTATCCCCTGTTCAAAAACATTAAACGATCAGCATGTCGATTATATAACAAACGGCAATAAGAGTGGGTTTATGTCAATAAGAGTGTAAATATATGTTGTTTGTCAATGAAACTCTTCTCCTCGCCTTGTAAAAAGTTGAATTCTCCTCCTCCATCAGTTGTACCAGCAGCAAAACTGTGACCCAGAGCTGGTTTACACGTCCGCCCCTGATGACAGAACAGAGTCAGTGCAAACACCACAGCTTTCTGGTTCTATAAATGTTAATCTCACTGGAAAACATCTGTATAGTGTATAAAAAATACTATAGTGTTTTTGAACCTGATACTATACTAAAGAGTTTTATACTGTATAATACAGTATTTACAACAATTTGTTAATGAATGCTACAGTATTAACTAGTATGAACTGTAATACTGTAGTATACTTATATATACGTTCCTTTTCACTCTAATGATATTGACAGGGATATATTATCGATGAATGAAGCTGCAAATAGCAGGGAACACAACAGAAATGTTTAAAGGGGACCCAAAAACGTGACGGACCCAGCTGGGATATATCTACCCTACTGAAAAAAACAGCTTGAACCAGCCTAGGCTGGTTGGCTGGCTTTAGCGAGGTTTTAGCCACTTCCAGGCTGATTTCCAACGATTTCCAGCCTGGTCTTAAAACCAGTTTGACCAGCGTAGCCAGGCTGGGAGCCCAGCCAAAACCAGCTATGTCCAGCTTAAACCAGGCTGGTCAAGCTGGTTTTAGCTGGTCATTTTCCAGCCTGACCAGTTAAGACCTGGCTGGAAATGGCTGTAAACCAGCCTGGAAGTGGCCAAAACCCCTCTAAAACCAGTCTGGTCAACCAGCTTAGGCTGGTTTAAGCTGTGTTTTTCAGCAGGATATTGTGCTGTGACTATTGCTCAATGAAGTTGTATTGCTCAGAGCATCTGATCTTTGAAGTGAAGTTGTAGTTTTTTTTTGGTTTTGTTTTGTTTATTTTAACATCCTGATCACACGAATCTCGTGTCTTTTGTATATTTTTAGCCTCAATAACCATAACCTAAATAGCCTGGCCCGTCACGTTTTAGGGTCCCCTTGAAACATTTCTGTTGTGTTCTGTGCTATTTACATGTGTTGAGAGAAAATGCAGCACGTTGTCTTAAACAGTTTGCGCTCTGAGAAATTACAACACATGCAGTTTGCTGTCAATCCGATGAAGATCTTTTCTTAATTTGCTTGGGTTTCTTTTTGTAATTATATGTGCTTTCTGAAATCGCAGCATGTACACATCTTGGCCAACGTACAAGAATCATGTACTCACTGTATGAGTGGAGTTGAACTGGACTGTCTCATCAGTCATGTTGACCCACTGATGTGCACCATAAACAGGCCCGTGTAACTCCTGCTTTGCACTGCCATACAGCTCCTGCACAACAAATGCATTAAGTGATAAAACTAATTCATGACTATTAATCAGGTTAAAAAAAATTCACAAAAGAGCACACCTTTGCTATTTTAAACATATTCTCTCCTATGATCCTGGTGCTTTCGAACATGTCTTCACCCGGTCCAAATGCTATGCATGCTTTTTTCTGTTGAAAAGCAGATGTGAAGAAGAACAGGTTAGTGAATGTTTTCCAACATAAATGGTTTTTAATTGTTAACGTTGAGATTTTGATATTCTTAAATGGATATATCCATAAAAAAAATTATAATTAAATGTTTTTTTATATATATTTATACAACACTTCTGTCTGGTTCTTGAATCTGATTGGCTGATAGCCATATGATATTCTGCCAGTAACAACACTCGTACTGCCTCCTCACCCTTCACCCTTGCAGTGTTGCCAACTTAGTGACTTTGTCGCTAGATTTAGCTATTTTTCAGACCCCCCTAGCGACAAATGTTCAAAAAAGCGACTAGCGACAAATCTAGCGACTTTGTGTGTTACTGGAGATTTTTACAGACTCATTTGTCCAAACTGTACCGTCCCAATTTCTCTCAACAAGCTGCAGGTGATGCCGCGGCCCCTCCCCTGCCTCAGAGCACTGACAAGCGGCTCAGTCCTCGTACAGCAGCCTCTCTCACCTGCAGCTTACGGCAGATCACCCCTTTGCGTACCGACGGCAAATGATTTAGCACCGGTGTTACACCATATTCTGTGAAACACCTGTTGTGTGAAGGTCTTTCTCTTGTACAGTCAAACCGATCTGCTTCTCCTTTATTTTAACAAAGTAATTTGACTGTTTATTCTTTTCTTGTTCACAGTCACAGATATTTTAGTGACAATTTCAGTACTTGTCTAAGTTTATTACGTCTGAGAGATTACTGCAAATTCACTACACATCTATAATGATACACTGTATCCAAACAGCAATAAATTTAGTTGACATGCTTACATAAAGCGTAGTGCACATATAAATACCCCTTTATTAACCATATACTTAAACAAACAGAAATGGTAGAGCGTGATGACGTCAGTAATATGCAAATTAACGTATGACGTAATCTAGCGACTTTTTGGGCAGAGCTTAGCGCCTTTTCGTTGAAAATAGTTGGCAACAGTGCATCCTTGTGTATTACTCTGCCCACATAAAGCGACAAGCAGAGGACACTCTACAGTTTGCCAAACATTGCTGCTGTTGGGCAACATAATGTACTTTTGAAGCTTTTTAGTTGAGAACGTAGTTGTTAAGATTGCGACTATGCAGTTTATTTATAAGGATAATGCCTATTTTAAATATTTATCATTTCTGAGAGACAGCGTGTTGGTAGCCATTAGCCTGTCATTGAGCAAAAACAGTTGGCGTTGTCCATCCACAAGATGGCCGCATAATAAGCCCTTAGAAGATTAAAACGGCGTTATTTATAACTACAGCTGATCAAATTATTATCAAACTGGTAAGAGTTATTTTAAGTCTCGCTTTTGTATGTAGTAGTGCTGTGTTTATACCATTTAATTGTAGTGTATTGAGTGTGAGATGTGGATCACTTATCAGGAATGTGTGCTGTGTTGGCAGGAAGAAAGAAGAAATGCCCGCATGTGTTTAGCGTTTTTCCTTATCACAAACACAACAGTAATCTGGTAGTGATTGCGCTGATCTTTTTCAGCGTTAATTATTGTGATCCCCTGATTGCAACAGATAAACAATGTAGACTGTAATACTGTAGGGAGATATATCTGTAGACTGATTCATGCCGTTCAGCCTTACAATCTTAAAATGTGAGCAAAATCTGCGGTTCTGTCCTCACTTAAGACATTACGCTAGAGAATCATTCAAATAACTAGCTCTAAAGTGACGATGAATTAGCAACGATTCCTGCTGTTCTGACATCAGCAGCAGAAGTAAATGAATGGCGGAAGAAAGTAGTTCCTCTTACAAAAGGGTTTTTAGACTCTCCGTGTTTGATTTTCTTATTTATACACAGGATTATGCTGTCGAACTGTTGTATAAACGCAATATCACATGAGTAGCAGTGCCGATATACAGCCACATCGCACTGGTACTTGTGATATTGCTCATTTATTTAACAGTTCTGTCTGGTTCTTGATTCTGACTGGCTGATACCTGTGTGATATCCTGCAATATCAGCACTCCTACAGCCTCTTCACCCTATTACTCGGCCCACATACAGCAACAAGCAGAGGACACTCTACAGTTTGACAAATATTGCTGCTGTTGGGCAACATGATTAACTTTTGAGGCTTTTTAGGGCAAGAATGTAGTTGTTTAGATTGCAACTATGCAGTTTTTTTATTAGGACAGTGCCTTTTCAAAAATATTTATAATTTCGGAGATTCAGCGCGTTGGCGGCCATCAGCAAAGCGAAGAAGCTGACAGTTGACGTTCCACCACAAGATGGCGACAGAGACTGCATAATAAGTCTTTAGGGGAGAAAAACCCAGCTTAACTTTAAAACTACAGCTGATCGAATCATTATTAAACTGGTAAGTGACATTCTCATTCTGTTTTGTATGTTGTAGTGCTCTATTTATACCATAGTAATCTGGTAGTGTTTGCTTTGCTTTTTATTATTTTATAATACTACATTATTTATTTATTAAATAGTTAAAATTTCCACAATCCTTTTTTTCTTCAATACTTTACAATTTTGCACTTTTTTATTATATCGTAAAATGCCAAATTTGACCTTTTACATTGTTTAATGGATTTTAAATTGCAATGACAGAAAAGATAAATACTGTATACTTCGTAGACACAGATATTCACAAAACAGAAGATTTTCATAACTGAAATATTTGAGAAAAGAAACTAGTTTTGTTAAGCTTACTAAAACAAATGAACAATACTGTAAAATGGTATTTAAAACATAAGTGAAATTGTTTCTAGAAATGCCCCTAGTGGCAAGCACGCAGTTATTCTAAGGTCAATTCTACAGTAAATGGTGCAGAGTGCCAAAATAGTGCATGAAATAGTGAAAAACTCACTCCTCCAACAGGGCAAGAGCTGTTAATGTAGTCACACTTCAATCCTGTGTTCACACAGACCGGGCCGCGAATATTAGGAGATGAATCTCCAAGATTACTGGAGGAAAATCCAGCCACAAAAGGACCCTGAAGGTAAACACACCACAAAAACTTATCATACAAAAAGCCTAATAAAGAGACCTGCTAACATAAGCAAAGGAAACAATATCTTCAGTTTAACTTCCAATGCAAGCAGTTCTTGTGGAACTTCCTTAATGTTTACGGCACTCTCAAGAGAATTACCAGCTTTATTGAGTGGGCAATTGTCCTTGTGGATCTTCCAGTAGATTGCGGCTAATAAAAACAGCTAATTAACCTTGATAATGGAGCTCGTTGGGGGCAGGATCTAATTAAAAGTTGACCTTTTACCTTTTCGCCGGGCAGAAAGCCAATATTTTTCTCCTGCTCGAAGATGTAGGAAGCGTAGCCGAGGTTGTCCGAGCTCACCATGCGATTGGTGTAATTCATACTGACTGGATGAACAGCAAACCAGCTGAAGGCAGAGGAATAACAAGAAAATTAATTAACATAACATTCATGAACAAAACGTATTGGATTCTTAGCAGTAATTCTTAGCAGAACCAGTAATCTTACACTTTAAATAAAGAAAGAATTTTTAAATGATGCCAAATGTTCACCTATAATTTAGTTATTTAACAGACGCTTTTGTTTAAAGCGACTTACAAATGAGGAGGCATTCAGCAATTCCACAAGAAGAGGCAATGCACACAACAAGTGCTAATTATACAAAGGAACTGTTCTCTCTTCCTCAGAGAATTAAGCGCTAGATTTAGGATTGGAAGTGTTTTTTTAAGAGAGAAGAGTGTTTCTACAGGTGGTTTGTCAAGCCCACTCACCTGTGTGTACCTGACTTCATAAATGCACAATGTTTGTTTTGTTTTTTAATAGATATGGAGTAAGAACGTGTCTGGTGAACGTGCAAAACTGGTGCAAGTGTCGGTTGATATGAAAGAGTGTGTGTTCTACAGGTGGTTTGTCAAGCCCACTCACCTGTGTAAGGCAGGTTCAGGTGATCGCGGAAGAGATTGGTTTTTAGTTGTCGTTTGTTTTCTAGTGAGTCAGCAGTCCGTGTGGGAATGGGAAGATCATTCCACCAGTGTTTAGTGTTTCTTAATAAAAGCAATTAGTTCTCTGTTGTGAAGAAGTTTTTGAAGATCTAAAAAACCTTTTGTGGAATGTAAAAGTTCCAAGGAACCAAGATTCTTCTCGCTGATGCCAATAAAGAAACATTATTTTTAAGAATTTCACCAGGACTTTATATTAAAGTCAATTGAAAAAAGTAGGTTTACAGTTTATTTAGGTGCACAAAAGGGTTTTGGAGCTGAGAATGAACCACTGAAGTCACATGGACTGTTTTGGCAGTGTTTTTGGTTCCCTTTCTTGACTTTGAGCATCTTGTGACCAATGCTGAGAGCTCTCAAACTTTATCAAAAATATCTTAAATTGTGTTCCAAAGAAATTTCAGGAAACATGAAGTAATTGATAACATAATGTTCTTTTTTTTTTAAGTGGACTAACCTCTTGATACCAAGTGTAAACAAAGCCTATATCTAAATACCAAGCATATACCCGAGGATCCTATGTTGTTGGCACTGAAATATATGTTTTTTTTATGTATAAGATGCATTATATAGTACCTGAGCAATCCTATTCCATCCCCATCCAGGTCTGTGAATTTCAGGACGACAATCTGCTTGTCTGTGTTGAATTCATATCTGGGATCAGAAAGATGGATAGAAATAATTATTTTTAATGAATGGGGAATACTTCCCCCTTAGAAACTGATTTTCTGGCTTTGACCTTGCCAGGGCAGTTTAGTTGCAAAGCACCTTAACAATTGTATGAGTGTTGTCTGTTGTCAAATATATACAGTTGAAGACAAAATTATTATGTAAATATTATCATTATTATTATTATTTTAAAAATGTAATATGGCATTTTTTATTCTTTTTCAAATATTCCCCAAGTGATGTTTAACAGAGCAAAGAAAATTTAACAGTATTTCATATATATATATATATATATATATATATATATATATATATATATATATATATATATATATATATATATATATTGCTGGAATAAAAAAAGTAAACAATTGTAAAAAATTAAATTAAATTATTAGATAAAAATGAAATAAATAAATAAATAACGGAATTAAGAAGATTTTTTTCTGAATGCAAATGTCCTCCTATACTAATAATATTAACAACAATAATAATAATAAAATAATAATAATAATAATAAATAAAACTAAGGTCAATATTATTAGCTTTAAGATTTTTTTTTTCAGAATGCAAATGTTTGCCCTTAATAGTTTGATTTCTGTCACTTATGAGATTTTTTTATTCATCCGACAATTTACAAAGTATATATTCATATAGTAAAAACAAACAGACCTGTTTCTCTCCTCTTCCGGATTGTTCATGTATGAATGTGGGCTTCTGTTGAAGTTGCTGTCTGCTACTTGTCCTTTATTTATGAATATTCGTCCAGGCCTCAAATTCCTATGAGCAATATCAATACTCTGATACAGAGGATAGAAAATATTATCAGTGACCGCTGAAACCATTTACATGAGGAATTTGTAGTATTATGTAGATTTTTAAAACCATCAATGAGTCTATTTATTTTCTTGTGTAAATGTGTGTAAATAAATTTATTAATTTAAATTAATTTCAGTAATATCATTGACTAATATGATAATGTTCATATGATTTGTTTACAATACATTTTGTTAAGTACTATTTTCTGTCTTTTAGTAAATCTATTATACGAGAGACTTGCTTTGTTTACCAAATAAGTGGATCTAATTGAATTCGCATAGTAAACATCAAATAAAAGTTAAAAAGGTATTATTTATTATTTCATGTGTTAAGTTTTTAGTTATGATAAAATCATTCTGCAGATTTTTTTTTTTTTTTTACAAAATTCTCAGCAGAAATAGCAAAAAATGTCCCCAGATTCTGTCTGGCCCAAGTAATATGAAGTGCTCACATTATTTCATAACATATCGGTAGCACTTTTTCAGTATGTATTTATTATGTAATTACATATAGGGATAGTACTTCGTTATAACCCAATTTATGTCACGACTATGATAAGTGTATAATATAAACAATGCCGCTTATTTACAGTATATTGGTACTCCTGGTAAATATGAGCTAAGAAGACTGTCTAATGTCTTTACTGTTTAACCTTTTGAACTTTAAAATAAAAATGTGAAATGTGAAACTTAAGAAATGTTCTACTCATGAATTCATGGAGTGCCAATAATTATGATACACACACACACACACACATATGTTACTGTTTGTTTGTTTGTTTGTTTTATTCATTTTTTATATTTATTTATTCATGTATTTTTGTGTTTATTTATTTATTTATCTATTTATTTACTTATTTATCTATCTATTTATTTATCTATGTGTTTATTTATTTACTGATTTATTTATTTATGTGTTTGTTTATAATTAATTAAATAATTTATTTATTTCAGTGTTAATTCATTTACTTATTTGTGTTTATTTATTTACTATTTATTTATGTGTTTATTTTTATTTATTTATTTATTTATTTATTTATTTATTTATTTATTTGTGTTTCTTTATTTATTTATTGATTATTTTTTATTTATTTATGTGTTTACTTATTTTTAGATTATTTTTATTTATTCATTTATGTGTTTATTTATTAATTATGTGTTATTTACTTATGTGTTTATGTATTTATGAATAATTTTTCTTTACTTATGTGTTTATGTATTTATTGATTATTTTTATGTATTTATGTGTTTATGTATTTATTGATTATTTTTATGTATTTATGTGTATGTATTTATTGGTTATTTTTTATTTATTTATGTGTTTATTCATTTATTATTATTTATTTATTTCTTTATTTATTTATTCATTTATTTGTTTGTTTTCATTGTATGTATTATAATTATTTATTTCTGAGCAAATTTTTAAAAGGTTAAACAATAAAGATCTTTTTTTACAGGCTTTTTTTGCGCATAGATCCCAAGTTGTGTTTTTTTATGCAAGTTTGTAATTCTCTGCATTTGTTATTTGTTGTTGTATATCTTGTAGTACTTTGAGTTTAAGAAAATCGCATCATAATTAAATGTATTATTATTAATATTAATAGAGAGTACTGTAAATGCAACAGCACTGTGAAATAAAGTGTCAGTAAAATCATACCTTGACTATTCCACTGACGATGGCCTGTATAGAAGGCTTGATGTAGCCTTTGCTGGTGATCATAAAGAGTGTGTACTGGAAATATCCACCCACTCCTGAATGTGTGTGTGTGCCACTCAACACCACATTGTCCTGTCTGTAGAGGTCTCCGTATTTCTCCTTAAGTGCTTGGAAAACCTGAAATGCAATGAGGAAAAATGACAAATACATAGATGATGGAGCTGATCATGAGGAGAAAACCTACTTTAAAAAACATTTAGAATTCATTTTCAAACATTTTGGAAAAAAGTTCATGGAGATCTGTACACAATTTTTATCTAATGTTGTTGTGTAGATTCATCATAAAGAAACAAATTAATTAATATTTACATGTAGTGTAGTTTCATTATAAATAAATAAATTAATAGAACAAAACAACACTTATAAATAACAATAAATAATAATTATAATAATAAATACTATATAAATTACATAACAAGCTAATATATATTTATTATAACAAATTTTATAAATTGACAACTGAATGAATGAATGAATGAATGAATGGTCACCCCTTAAACGTATATATTAAATAATTATTTCATTTAATTATACTACAATATACAAAACATACATTTAATGACTACAATCCAAATGATTTGTGACAAAAATTAACAGAGACAAATGATATATGCATTCTTCTAAATAAATGAGTGAATAAATACATAATTAAACAAAATTAATTAATTAATAAAAAAAATAAAATTAATACACAAATGAACATCATACCTTCATTATAGTCTTTAAAAAATAAATAATCATTTTTATTATGTTAGCAAAATGAATGTTAAAATGTAAAAATGTAAGATTTTTTTTTCAAGGTTTATGCAATAAATAAAAATTTCAACTTTTAAATAATAAGAATAAAAATAATTATTAATCATTGTAATCCTAATAGTATATTATATTAATTTATAAATAATAAATAAACAAAATTAATAAATAAATAAAGTATAACAAATAAATAATTTAAAACGTATAAAATATTTGCATTATTAAGAGTATATTTTTAAAGAACATAAATATATATTTCTCCATCCAAATGTAATGTTTTTCAATGAATAAAAGTGGAAAAATGTGCTTGTTTTAAAGCAAATAAATAATTTAAAATACAAAATGTAAATACGGTATAGAAACTTTTCATTATTAAGAGCGTATTTTTTCTAGAAATTATATTTTTTCCTACATTAAAATGTAATGTTTTCCAATGAATAGAACAGGAAAAAATGTGGTGATAATGTAGCCGTGTGTAGTACCTCTAGCCTGAGCCTCTGCGAGACCATGCCGATGTCTGAGGTGACGAACACGACTCTCTTATTGCCATCATCCACAATGAAGGCTCTGCTGAACAACCGCGTGTGCAGTCCTCTTGCCGTCTGATCGGTGTTGGCATAACCCATCTTTCCCCATCAACACAAACACAATAACATCAGCAACCTTAAAGGCCACACATTAAAGGTCAGAATGTCATAAAACTGACTTAAAGTGCACATGAAATCAAAACTAAACATATGATTTTGTTAGCTCACATTGCCAGTTTTGAGGTGAACAATTCATCTGTGTGTGCCATTAAGAAACAAAAATGTTTGCCCTTGTAATCTAAAATTAAAATCTGGCAATAAACTTCCTGTTTTTTTTTTTAATTCTCAGATTATGTCTATCTGAGGTATTGGGCGTGGCTAACATACTTAACCACACCCCTCCAACTCTTAGTTTTGACAACAAACAGAAATGGTGAAGGATAATGGTGTGCAGGAGGTGTCTGTTAGGTTGTAATAACTCTTACAAACCCTTTTCCCTACTTCACTACATCCAATCAGCTCACAGTAGAAAAAAAAAAAAGAACAAAAAATATTGATTTATGAAACCAAAAACTGTTAAACACACCCAAAACGATTTCAAAGACAGGGGCAAATATCAGAATGTCTTGCTAAGGAAAGCCTTCTTTCAGCGGTTACATGAGCGGTCATCATCAGGCAAAGCACATTTTAAAATGCATACAATCTTCATAAATAATTCACAGATTTAAGTGTTAAACAACTACATTCTCGCATGAAAAACCGCTAAAACTTTCCTTCATTACACATTAACAGCAATATTTAGAATACTATAAGAATGAACAGAACTGAAACTGACCATAGGTAAATCTGCCACTGGTCCAGTACAGTCCGCTCGACCCACACCAATCAGATAAGGCTTTTCTGGAGGAGTTACTGATGGGCTCGGTTCTTCCGGAGTCACTTCTTCTTCTGGTGCACACAATGATCAAAACGGACGTAATGTGATTTAGGATTCACAATGATAAGATTACACACACAAATACAGTAGGAACTGCGAAACTTAAAGGTGCAGTATGTAAGTTTGACACCCAGTGGTTGAACTAGATATTGCACGCCTGATTCAAAACACATGCAAGCGCAGGTTGCCAGATTGACTATACCAACATATCAGTATTTCAGCATGCACATTTAACATTGCTAAAGAAGTTTAATATGTATTAATTAGATTATAAACCTGTTTGTTGAAGTGCAGTAAGTGCACTATTTTGTGCTTCTAAGTGGCTGTATTTAAAATTCTGTTGTGTTTTGTCTGCATTTCTCATCATGTAGCCTTTTGTTAGGACACAGGGTTACAATGTAACCTGCTCACCTAATGTTTATGTTCATTATATATATATATAACTCTGAATCTGCGTCTGATTTTGGAGTCTGCTACTGTCCAGCGGAGGTCGCATTTTGGTCACAGACACATGCTTTGAGAGCCTTTCTGACTGAATGAATGAAATACGCAGTTTTACAACAAGGCAACCTGGAGTGCTGAAATATAATTGGCTAAAGTGGCAGTGGGCGGGTTAAAAGAACCAAAACAAAGACAGCCGTTCCAGCACGTAACGCACATTTTCAAAGCAGAATATCTGACTCCAGCATTGTTTTTCAGATAAACAAGATTGATCACTTATCATGTTTCTTAAATATCTGCAAACATATTATGATATTTTTATGCTTTAGAAGTTACATAGAGCACATTTAAACTATGAATTATGACATATCCTATGAAGTCACAACCGCAATTAATTTTTAAGATGTAAATAAACTCGCAACTGTATGAAATAACGTCGCAACTTCAAGTAAAAGAGTAAGACATGAACGGAATTGCAAGACGCTAACCATAACCCAAACAAAAGTCTGAGAAATACACGAAATAAACTATTATTCTAAAGGATCAGAACCGTTTTTCTTTTTTAGTCCCGTTGCAATCAATATTACATAAATAAATATTATTTTATTAATACTATATCCGTGCATATAAAGTCAACAGCTCTTTATCAGGAAATATATGGTTGAATTCACAATGATTTTTTTTCTTTTATAAACATTTTCCAAATGATGTTAAACAGAGCAAGGAGAGCAATTTTTCACAGTATTTCCTATAATATTTTTTCTTCTGGAGAAAATCTTATTTGCTTAATTTGGGCTAGAATAAAAGCAGTTTTTAATTTATTATTATTAATATAACAATATTATTAGCCACCTTTTGTTTCGATTGTCTACAGAACGAACCATCATTATACAATGACTAGCCTAATTACCCTAACTTGCCTAATGAACCTAGTTAAGCCTTTAAATGTCATTTTAAGCTGAATACTAGCATCTTAAAAATATCCAGTAAAATTTTATGTACTGTCATCATGGCAAAGATAAAATAAATCAGTAATCAGAAATGAGTTATTAAAACTATTATGTTTAGAAATGTGTAGAAAAAAAATCTTTCCAACATACAAGGAGGCTAAAAATTCAGAGTTTAACTGTAAATAGGCCTATAATCATTATTATAACTACTCCAAATGCACAATGTAGAATACTTTCTTTAAAAGGTGTCATTACTTTTATCTGATTCCTGTTTGAGGGCCAGGACGGTGATCAGTGCCACTGAAACTGCCGTCATCAACAGAAAGAGAACAATGAGTGAGATCTCCAGTCCGCTGAGACGACGACTCTTACTCGCCATCACGATTGCTGAAAACAAAAAAAACACAACACTGACAGTCAATATACAAAAACACCACAACAATGATGCTTTAACACAGCACAGAGCAAGAGTGAAGCAGCTCAAACATTGTGCGGTTGAAGTCAGAATCATTAGACCCCTGTATATTTTCCCCAAAAATTCTGTTTAATTGAAAAGAAGGTATTTTAAACATTTTGAATAACTGATTTCTTTTAGCTTTGAACGCGCAAAATATTTTGCAAGATATTTTTCAAGATACTAGTATTCAGCTAAAAGTGACAAAGACTTGCTTAATTTAAAAATCTTGCTTACAGAGGCTAATAATTTTGACCTTAAAATGTTTTTTTAAAAAAAACTAAAAACTGCTTTTGTTCTAGCTGAAATAAAACAAATAAGACTTTCTCCAGAGGAAAAAAACATTATAGGAATTACTGTGAAACATTCCTTGCTCTGTTAAACATCATTTGTGAAATATTTGAAAAAGAAAATCAATTCACAGGAGGGCTAATACTTTTGACTTCAACTGTACATTTTTATATGCATTTTTTGTTTTTTTATGTTTTTGAAAAAGTCTCCTGTATGCATTTATCTCATACATCTTGCTCTTGAAAGACTTAGAAGTCTGTCAATTCTGAATTTGCTTTTCAATTGATTTAAAAGTTTGAATTGTGATATCACAAAACTCAAAACTGAATCAAAATTCAGGATATTGAGTTTATAATCACACAATTCTGACATTTCTTAGAGTTGTCAATTTGCATCTCAAAAATCAGACCTTCTCTTTTCTGAATTCTGAGCTTCGATCAAAAATCAGACTATTGGACCAAGCTGGAGCACGTTATCTGGTCCCCCGGGCTCTGCAATGGCTGGGAAAATTCGAAATTGAACCAAAAAACAATTCATTACAATTTGGATCAAGATTGGTTTTGAAAATAGGGTATATGCGGAAGTATGCTAAAGGACTTACAATTGGTCAGTAATTGGTCATTTAGGGTCTGTTTTCTTTAACAGATTGAATTTTAATTACATTACAATATCGATGCTGTAAAAGGAACCATATAAAATGGAAAAAAGTCACATTAACCTTTCACCGGACGTTTATTGGAATGGGAAGAAACAATGACTCTGCATATAACCTATTTGGAAATTGCAGCCAGCTGAACCAGGGAAGTTTATAAAAAATAAAAAAAAGACTATTTTCATCACAAAATGATTTTGTGTCAAAATGTGACTTTTTTATTTTAACTTTTCTTCTTGAAATTCTCTTTTTGTTTCTCAAAATTCTTACTTTTAAATTTATATCTTAATTTCATGAATTTTGAGTTTGTATCACAAAATTATGACTATTTCAAATTGTTATAAATTATTCAATTATTATGATTTATTTAATCTTATTATAACTATTTTTAATAATCATTTATATTACAAATTCGACATTATTTCTTGCAATTCTTAAATTATAATGGAATTTTGAGATCAGAATTTTGAGTTTATAACTTTGATCTTGCAATTCTGCAAAAAAAATTAATCTTAAAGTTTGCAATTTAAAACTTTCAATTTAAATTTTAAATTTAAACTACTTTTCTATTTTATATGGCAGAAACAAGCTTCCATAATTTTTTATTAATTCAATAAATATTTCAATTAAAATGAAGTTATTGAAGTGTATGAAACTTACACACACAAACACACACACACACATTACTGTAAAGTTGCTTTAAAAAATTACTGAGTACAAAACAAGATTCGTTAATATGTAGATCTTTTGAAAATGCCGATTATGCACTCAAAAAGCATTTTAAATGATTACTTTTAAAAGCAAATGTGAATTTCAAAAGAACAATTCAAACACATATATAACCATATTATACAGTTCTTTACATTTTTTGATAAGTTTAGTGCATCCTCTTTAAAACAAACTATAGAAACATCCTTCCAATACTGGCAAAATTAAAGTACCATGCATTATGAAGCAATTGAGCATGTAAAAAAATCATTTAAGCAAAGATGTACTTACATGTTTTGGTGCCGACAGTAAATGGTGTAGATTTTGTGCAATGGAAAGAAAAGAATGACGGTTAAATCAAGTGCACATTTATATTGTATATAGTTCAAAGACAAAGGCAGTCAAAGGTTCTCTCCGCTGTTTATAGCTGCATTTAATGTTGACAGTATGAAACCAAACTCGCAGATTAGATTAGATTAGTTGCATAACTACTGAGATACCACAAACCATATCAAGATTTTCATTTTAACCAAAGGGGATTCTCAGTTACTGATAACAAGGACAAAATAATCAGCAAAATTAATAGAGTACTGAATATGCAGTATATCACGTGTGTGTGTGAGTGTGTGTGTGTGTGTGTGTGTGTGTGTATACAGTGCCTAGCAGAAGTGAGTGCATACATTTTAAATTAATAGATGGTATATGATAACATTAGTCAGTAAGCCAAAATTTTCACCAATTTTACAACATAAGTTCATAACACCCAAATGAATATGTTGGGAAAAAAATTTTAACTAAATTTGTTACATTTTTTTTCTATAAATAAATCCAATCCCGCCTAGCACAAGTACTGGGGCTAGGGAATGCAATGATACAGTATTTTCAGCCCAAACAATCACTGAGCCACCCGCACGCTTCACTCAGGGCATGCAGAAGTATGTTGTTGGGGCTTCTCCACACCCTAACTCTCCCAGATGTGACAGTGAAGGTGGACTCTTTAGAAAGCATGTTTCACACTGTCCACAGCCCGAGATTTAAGGGATAATTAAGATATAAACTATTACTAGAACCACCCGTGCAGAATTCCGCAGATTTTTAGCCAATCATTAATTCTGTTTATTTACTTGAGTTAATGTGTGTAAATATATATTTATTCAGTTTTTAATTAATTTTAGTAATATTATTGAATAATATGAAAATGTTCATCTGATTTAAGTACAATGCAGTTTGAGCGGTAATATTTTCTGTCTAGTACTAGAAACCTGCTTTATTTACCAAATAAAGTGAATCTAATTGGATATACATTTTAAACATTAAAAGTTAAGAATATATGATTTTTTATTTCATATATTAAGGTTTTAGTTATGATACTCCCTAAATAATTCTTAAGAAATCCGCAGACTTTTACCAAAATTCTCTGTAGAAATAGCAAAAAACGTTCGCAGATTCCGTCTGGCCCTAGTTATGACATATACAACTGCAAGAAATAAATTCATAAGATGTAAACTCGCACTGTGCTGTCTTTACAACAACCAAAACAATCACAGTATCGGATAACACATTATTAAATGAGGAGCAGGGGAGGAATTTAAAGCAAAAATAGTAATAATAATAGTAATAATAATAATTCTAATAATAAATAAATTATTAAATGAGGAGCAGGGGAGGAATTTAAAGCAAAAATAGTAATAATAATAATAATAATAATTCATTCATTCATTTTCTTTTTGGCTTAGTCCCTTTATTAATCTGAGGTCGCCACAGCAGAATGAACCGCCGACCTTTCCAGCATATGTTTCACGCAGCAGATACTCTTCCAGCTGCAACCCATCACTGGGAAACATCCATACACACTCACACACTTTAGGTTACCCAATTTACCTATAGCGCATGTCACTGGACTTGTTGGGGGAATCTGGAGCATCTGAAGGAAACCCAGGCCAACATGGGCTAAATATGCCAACTGACCCAGCCGAGGCTTGAACCAATGACCTTCTTACTGTGAGGCAATTGTGCTACCCACTGCACCACAATGACACCCCAATACTACTACTACTACTACTAATGATAATAATAATAATAATAATAATAATAATAATAAATACTATAGTGTTTTTGAACTATATTAAAAAGTGCAGCTATTATTATACTGTAAGCCTGCTGTAAAGCCTATATATTATAGAAGCTGATTTAGTCTACAACCCTTTAATGAATGCTAAAGCATCTGTAACCAGAGATATGTCGGGATTTTATATTTATAAAAGTAAATATTAAATATATAAATATATATTTATTTATTAATTTTTTTACTAATATCTGATTTTACACATAAAGCTGCTGTACCTCCTCTATAGTTTCATAGTTTTTTTTTGGGAACTTTCCGTCATCAAAATTAGACCCAATTTTTCCCATAAAGATCCTGATGGCAGATCCTGGAGGGCTGGTGTCCTGCATATTTTAGCTCCAATTTGCCTCAACACACCTTAACTGTTTCTAGAAAGCCTAGTAAGAGCTTGATTAGCTAGCCCAGGTGTGTCTGATTGGGGTTGGAACCAAACTTTGCAGGAAACTGGCCCTCCAGGACCGAGTGTGGACACCCATAGATCATTGAAAATGGCAGAATCTCAGGTTTAATTTGATATAACGGCACATAGTCTGAATAATTATGGTTCAGATGTGTGTAAATATAAACTTTTTCTTCAAGTTTGAATTTCTCAAAAAGATGAGGCCAATATTTACTCCAAATTTTTTTTTACTGTTTGTTCAAACTACTTTTATAAAACAAGCTGAAACAAAATTCAGTTTTTTTTTGGGACAACTTAATTGTTTTATATTCAATCCACTTAATTTTTTGTCCCAACACAAATCGTTTGTGTGGAACCCAGCATTTTTACAGTGTTTGACAGAGCCTAACACAGTCAGTCAATATTAAAGATATCAACATTATATTTTGACAGAATCTTCTTTACATTGTGTAGCACAAATATACACTCACCAGACAAATATACACTCATGGGCTACAGCAGCAGGAAACTGAGGCTACAATTCACAAATTGGACAATAGAAGATTGGAAAAACGTTGCCTGGTCTGATGAGTCTCAATTTCTGCTGCCACATTCAGATGGCAGGGTCAGAATTTGGCGTCAACAACATGAAAGCATGGATCCATCCTGCCTTGTATCAACAGTTCAGGCTGCTCATGGTGGTGTAATGGTGTGGGGGATATTTTCTTGGCACACTTTGGGCCCATTAGTACCAACTGAGGATCATGTCAACACCATAGCCTACCTGAGTATTGTTGCTGACCATGTCCATCCCTTTATGACCCGTGTACCCATCTTCTGATGGCAGGATTACACGCCATGTGATGAAGCACGAATCATCCCAGACTGATTTCATGAACGTGACAAGGAGTTCACTGTACTCAAATGGCCTCCACAGTCAGCAGATCTCAATCCAATAGAGAACCTTTGGGATGTGGTGGAACGGGAGATTCACATCATGGATCTGCCGCAACTGTGTGATGCTACCATCTCAATATGGACCAGAATCTCTAAGGAATATTTCCAGTACCTTGTTAAATCTATGCCACGAAGAATTAAGGCAATTCTGATCGCAAAAGAGGGTCCAACTCGGAACTAGTAAGGTGTACCTAATAAAGTGGCCAGTGAGTGCTTGTTAAAAAAATAAATAATCTGCTGGGCTTTCACAGAGAAGGTGACATTTAACGTGTCCACATGCAAAATATATTTAAAAAAAAAAAGTGATCAAACAAAGCTGTGTACTAATATTTGTAATTTATTTGTTTGTCAACAGACATCAGAAAACCTCCTACTTTTAATGACAATATAGCAGCTTGTTGTATTGGGTGGTCAATAGGACAGATCCTCTGATTCGCTCATGGAAATGATAAATCACATCGTCTTGTCAGTCCAACAGAAACCTGGAATTCAACACCATAAAACACCTGTCGTCCGACTTAAACAACTGTGCAAAACAAGATCCCAGAGGAAAACACTAAACATAACGCAACGAAGACATTAATAAATATATTCAAAAACAATTAGAAATGATAACAGACGATGGAATTAGCTTTGCGGACACTCTCGTGAAATAACATTCAGGCGACGAGGTAAAACATCTCGCATGAGTCGCAGAAAAATGCGAAACACTGAAATAGTCTGTGAACGAACATAAATACAAACGAGCAAGAGTTTGCTCTGAAATCGTTAAGGCACTGTGGAGCATTCGATCATCCGAACGATATACGTCATCTGTAGCTCTCGAAGTAAAGAATTAGTTCAAAAAATAAAATTATGTCCATATAAATCATCTGAAAGCAAGTGTTATCTAGAAAAATCGAAGTCTGTACAAAACTGATTCTCATTTCTAGCAAAGAGATCAATAAATTGCTTGTTTGATATCTTGAAAAGATGGCTTTGTGGCTGTAAACGGGGGCGAAGATACTTGGCTACATTACCAATTTATTCAAAAAACAAAACAAAAGGACAAACGTTTTGCGTGTAATGCTACGACAAAAAAAAAAAAAAGACGCTCATCACTAACCGTAATTTATTGTTCTCCGCCACAAACTTGGTAAGTTTACATCAAAAACTCTATCCTGCGCAAGGAAACGAGACGTTTTGAATGAGTAGTTTGATAACTAAAGGGATTAGTAACAATTTCAGTCTTGTTCTGGCACTTCGGGTGAGTTTTTTTCCAATGAGAAAGCTAGTCAATCGGAGTCTATCCGTGTGTATTTGACATGGCTCCAGTGCAGCAATCGCCATGAAAAGGGTTTCTGGTAGTGACGTGGAACAACGGCAGGAACATTGCTTTCTAGGTACTGGAAAAATCGATACCACCACACATTGGCGAAGAAGTTGCTTTGTGATGTTTCTTTGAGCACCTGAAAGACATGGAGGTTACGATCAAGGTTATTTCAGTGAACCAAAACTAAGACTAAAACAACACAGTAAAATATCTGTAAATTATCAGTTTTGGGTATTTTGTGATTCTATTTCTGCTTTTAAATTGCATTATGGGACTTTGATCTTTCTTCCAACAACTTTTAACCTTGAAAAATTCGAAAAAGTGACTTTTATGAACAAATTTATTAGTTTAAATTGATATATTGCCTGGGATGGTGTTGTATATTATGCTACAAAAACCTTTTCTGTACATTTTCTGTTATTTTACAGATACATTTATCTATATAAACCCATTTATCTATATATTATTACAAAAATCAGCAATAAAAGTCACTTTGTTAAACTGTAGAGTTGAATTTTCAACATCAAAAGTCGACAGAGCAGAGATCAAGGCCCCATAATGCAAATCACAACCATAAAAATATAGAAAACCCTTTTGAATTACATATGGAATTGAAATACGGAAACTGTTAATTAACATATTTTTCCTACAGTGTATTGGTCCTTTTCGTTAACTGAAAAAAAATATAACCTTTTGAATTAATGAAATTTGAAAGTAAATAAAAAAGTGACTGAAATAAAATAATAATTATTAAACATAAATAATAGTTTTCAATAGAGTAATAGAAAATCTGACATGTGGCTGTTTATAGAAATACCAGTAGATGGCGCTCTTACAGACAAATACACTTCAGTCCAGCACGTTTATATAAAGAAACATGAAACAATATTTCAATATTTACTTTAACCATGACCATATACCGTATAAAGACATTTGTCCGAATTTATAATGTTAATTTTTATTTGTTGAATATGTATATATACATATACACAGTTAAAGCCAGAATTATTAGCCTCCTTTGAATTTTTTTATTTTTTTTTTCCAAATGATGTTTAACATCTAGCTAGGACATTTTCACAGTATGTCTCTTAATATTTTTTCTTTCGGAGAAAATTTTATTTGTTTTATTTCGGCTAGAATAAAATCCGTTTTTAATTTTTTAAACACCATTTTAAGGTCAAAATTATTAGCCCCTTTAAGCTATATTTTTTCAATAGTCTACAGAACAAACCATCATTATATAATAACTTGCCTAATTACCCTAACCTGCCTAGTTAACCCAATTAATTTAGTTAAGCCTTTAAATGTGACTTTTATCCGTATAGAAGTGTCTTGGCAAAGATAAAATAAATCAGTTACAGCAAATAGTCTTGAAATATATAAATAATTTAAAAATGCTAAACTACAATAAACCAGACAAATGGAAATTGTGGCATGTGTGAGGTGCTATAAATGAATGGCATACTTGTTGGTTGGCCATAGTGTGATACCACCAGAAAAGGCGTGTGGTGATGAAGTAGGCCACGACAACGTCAATGGTGTAATGGTCATGAGCCAGGAGGATGCAGAACACTCCGACCGCACACAAAGACCAGCAGCCCCAGTGAAACCACCAGAACCTTCTGGGAGAATCTGTGAGGAGAAAGAAGGTCACACTCTTTTTTTATTCATTAGAACTAGTACACAAGGTTGTACCAAACTTGTGTGTGTGTTTTTTTGTACACACAAGTTTTTATTTTATTTTACAAAACGTTTGAATTCGATAGCTAAACACAAATAAGTGAATTAACGAATCTCCTTCACTGTAGCTTTCATGAACTAAATATAGCAAACAAAAACTGTACTACAGTAGATGTATGGGAAAACTAACATAATGACAAAACTCACAACAATTTTACTAAAATGTTTTCACTTTTACTTTAATTTAAAAAACAAACTATTTTTTGTGTTCTGGGCGACACGGTGGCTCAGTAGTTAGCACTGTCACCTCACAATAAGAAGGTTGCTGGTTCAAGTCCCAGCTGGGTCAGTTGGCATTTCTATGTGGAGTTTGCATGTTCTCCCCATGTTGGCTTGTGCTCCAGTTTCCCCCACAGTTCAAAGACATGCGCTATAGGTGAATTGGATAAACTAAATTGTCCAAAGTGTATGTGTGTTAATGAGTGTGGTGTTTCCTAGTACTGGGTTGCGGCTGGAAGGGCATCCGCTGTGTAAAACATTCATTCATTTATTTACACTTAGTCCCTTTATCAATCCAGGGGTCGCCACAGCGGAATGAACCACCAACTTATCCAGTATATCAAAATATTATTTAAATGCTTAAATAGGATTCGATTTTACAATTTAAAACTTTATATTTATTATTAGAAATTTGTTTACATTTTTTATGGTATGTGATAGCATGTGCTTTAACTGTCCCCTAGAGGTCGGTGTTGTCTGAAATCACAGAAATGTTCACCCACACTCCTTGATGAAGAGATAGGTGAGGGTCAGCATGACTGTATGGCCGCTGTATAAGTAGTCTCCGCACATGTTATGAGAGCCGGTGATGGTCAGACCTCCTCCTGCGATCAACTTCATCACCCGCCGCATCTGAGACTGCCAGTCTCCATTCACCTGCCACACACACACACACACACACACACACACACACACACACACACACACACACACACACACACACACACACACAGTAAAAACATTAACTTATAGTTGTCAGACTTCCATAGTTTGCTGATTACTATAAAAAAAAACACTTAATTTTATAAAAAATAGGCTCATTTTACAACTCCACTATAGGGTTAAACAGTTACAGGTAACCATTTCTGAATCCATTCAGATTATGTCTTGTAGAAACATAAAATTTTTTGATAAAAGGCTCATTTTCTAAGTAACTTCGAGTTAAACAATCGTGTTTTACCATTTTTTAATCTATTCAGCTGATCATTGGGTTTGGCGGGAACACTATTAGCTTAGCTTAGCATACATTATTGAATTAAGACTACATCATTAGCATCTCGCTTTAAAAAAATTCAAAAAGACTTTTGATAATTCTCCTATTTAAAGCTTGACTTCTTTAGCTACATCGTGTACTAAGACTAACGTATATTGATTGAACCAGATTGAGAGAAGAGTTCCTAGCCATTTTAGCCTAGAAAATGGCAACTTTTCCTTTTCTGTAATGCTGAAGATACACAGGGCAATTTTTTTAAGCGATGTTGCTGGGCAACTTTGGGAAATTATGTCATAAATGGGCCACCAGGTGAGACACAGGGTAACTATTTAAGGCAATGGGTTACAGATACAATATTTTTTCCCATTCTTAGTAGAAAATCAGCCAAGCGATATCGCTTTGCCTGGCAACATTGCCTAAAGAGTTGCCCTGTGTATCATCAGCATTAGTCTTAGTACGAGATGTAGCTACAGAAGAGTCATGCTTTAAATAGGAAAGTTATCAAAGCTCTTTATTCTTGCAAGATGCTAATGGTCTAATCTGATTTAATGATTTATGCTGAGCTAAGCTAACAGTACTCCAGACAGAACTGGAGATTGGCTGAATGGATTTAAACTAGTTTACTTGAAAAATGAGCCAACTTAAAAAAGCAGAGTGTTCCTTTAAGATGCACAACAATAAAGCAACAAGCAGCTTCTACAGTCTGCAGTGTTTCTGTCGGGGCTTTTGCTCTTCAGGAAAGCAGATTCTAACAAGGCTGAAAGAGTTTCAGGCCTTGGTAATAAATGTTTCCTGCAGGCCCTGTGATGTGGATTTCCTGCCTTCTGAAGCTAATGTGTGTTCATGACATCCCATACACACACACACACACACCCAAACACACACTGGCAGCATGGCAACACTTGTGCAGTTACAAACACAATTTAATTTCACAATAATATTGCTCATTTTCCCCTCAGACTCCGGAAGGAGGACTACTGGTTTGGAAAGAACAGTTCCCTTTTATAATATTACTTTTTTTTTCTCTCTCTTTCTTTTCTTGAGGTTGTGTTGCTGCATTTTACATAGATGATGAAAAGTTTACATTTTGGCACCTGGTCAATTTAAATTCTGGGTACAATTGCCAAAGGTGTTTATTATGTATACTTGAGTGAATTACAATACATGAAGTCTTTTATTTACTAGTTGACAAACTACAAAACTACCAGAGAAATTCTCAATTTTTAGGTCAGATTTTACCCCAAAGCTTAGCAAATTAAAATAAGACTGTATGGTGTCATGAGAGTAGCTGTCAAAAATAAAAAAAATACTACTTAATAGATATTTCCCAGAATATTACCACTACCATAGTCTATCCAAACCTTTTTTCCCACAACCACAACCTTTAGTAATAAATCAGGTAAGACTGCAGGTTTCAACAACTTAAATTTAAGATATTTTGAAGACCATTATGAATGAAATTTTAGATTTATAGGCTAAATGTTTTTTTTATATCCCAGTTTGTCCTATCAAATAATGATTAAAATTTAATACAGTAAATAATACAATAAAAATTTAATAATGAAAATGAGAATAATATTTCACACATTGAGGCAGTCAATTTGTGTGTGTGTGTGTGTGTGTGTGTGTGTGTGTGTGTGTGGATATGTATATATAAATAAATAAAAATTCTCTATTTTGTTGTTTAACTGGATTTATTAAGTATGGGTTTGAGTAAAACGTAATCAATTGTTTTATTCTATAAAGTATAAAAATGACAACAGGTCAGAAAAACATTTGTTGGTATTTAAAAAAAAGTCAGGGTTATTCCATCAAATATAGATTTTTTTTTTTATATTGAAGTTTTATTTAAATGTTAGTATCAATATATTTTTGTGATTTTACATTTTTTAAGGATATCTATGTGCTCCAAAACAGTGACAAAATGTTTATTTAGAAGATATAAACCTGACATAAACATCCAAAGCTTGTAGAAGCAAAGGTTTTTTTCACATCATACTTTAGTTTCTTATCAAATCTTCTGACCAATCAAATGCTCTCTAGTATCTGACATGCCCCGCCCACTTCAAGACGCTTCTCATTGGATTTTCAGTTGATCTGCAAAGGGTGCACTCACACTATGCTATCCAAACCATGCCCAAGTGCTCCTTATAGGGCCCAGGCGCGGATTAGTTGGCTATAATAAAATATAAACATGCTAAAAATTAGTTAAAATGCTTAAAATAACAAAACTTTTAATTAAAATTTTAAAGTTTACAACATTATTTTATTTTTTAAAAATTTAAAAAAATGACAAACTACAAATTGTAAATTTGTAAAACTGAGAATTTTTTATTATTATAATTTTTTAATATATTATTATTTGACCCTGATGCTTGACTCTAGCAATGTCACATTCAATACAATAAACGAGAAAAAAACCTCCCCTACAAGTACATGACACATTTCCCGCTGTATCCCGAAGGAAATGCTAACAACATACTGACAGGATGCATTCAAGGAACAAGATCCCATAAAAGCACTGAGAATTAAAAACCCTGTCAACATCGTTTCCGACACTCTTTCCCTGCCTGTCTTCCTCAATATAAATGGGTTGCTGGAGATTATGGAAGGAAGAACAGATGGAAATAATAGCGCACTTCACTTTTTCCATGAGCGGCTTCTCTGTTCAATGCGAAATATGTCCCTTTCTGACCTCTGCTCTCAGGACATTAATAGAGCCGTCGCAAATTCTTTACATCATCTGCTTAAAACGGAGATGCTCGCCTCTCCTATCCTGTTACACAGAGCCAAACGCAATGACAAATCATACAACTAAATAGAATTGCTAGAAATAACGAACAAATATAGATTCACATACAAAATTTCTTATTTTTTTTCTTTTCAACTTAGTCCATTTATTAATCAGGGGTCTCCACAGCGGAATGAACCGCCAACTTATCCAGCACATGTTTTAAGCAGCGGATGCCCTTCCAGCAGCAACCCATGACCAGGAAACATCCATACACACATGCATTCACACACATGCAGTACGAACAAATGAGCTTACTCGATTCCCCTATACCACATGTCTTTGGATTTGTCGGGAAAACCAGAGCACCCGGAGGAAACCCCCGCCAACAAAATTCCATTTTCCATGACAACGGTGTCAATGTAGCGAGTGTCATTTTCTCTCTCAGCTTGCTGTACATTTTTTTACTCCGCAAAATTCCCTCTTTCTGACTTCTTCGTCATCAGTGGTTTCACCTTTACTGGCATGGGTTTTAATGTTGTAACAGATGATTTGATTACTTTCTCACGCTAATCGAAATGCATCACATGACAGTTCATATGCCGTGCAAACCCGAGACAGGCCTAACCTATACCTGTCAATCCTCCAGTTTTTCCCAGGATTCTACAGTATTTTACAGTTCTACCCCGCTATCATCCCGTAAAAGTATTTTCCCGTATTTCTCCCATGTTTTCAGTCTTTCTCTGAAGAGTCGAGCCTCCCCTATATGCAACCCATACTGCCGAACCACCAGGGGCCGCCCCTTGCTCTTAAATGCGAGTCTGTTCTGTGCGTTCGCTTTGTTTAGGAATGAAAACATGATTAAAAACACTTAAGAATAAATATAAAAAATGGCGCGATTCCCTTTCCTTTTGATTACAGGTGTCGTCGCCCCTCCTATAAAATCCTCAAAACAGTCATATAATGGTGCATGACTGTCAGCTGACGCGCTCCATACTGATAAATAGACGCTGTTTCCCAAACGGTTTCTGTACAGGCAATTTGAAGCGGAGTGAAAGTCTGGGTTTTGGGTGCATGTTAAAACAGACATATACACATAATTAATAATAATAACATAAAAACATGTCGATCCTAGTGTTTTTTTTTTTTTTTTCAAACACAACTAATTTCGTCTTAAATGAGCATAAACAGTTAGGAAAGCAGTCGAATGCTTTCATTATGTTAGATGTGTGCATTTTTTAAAGTCTTTTAAAGACACACCTGTTATTTATTTTAATTAAAAAAATCTAAATAAATGAGAGATTCATTCGTTGCTCTTTAATCAGAATGTGTAAGTGATACAGTGGAGAAACGGCTAATGAGATTTGATAGCTTGATTCTATTTCATTATAATAGCTATTCATTTTAATAAAGCTGTACTGTTTGCTATTGTATTTGCTGCTAATGTATGCATTTATTTTTTCCTTTGTTAATAATAATTTTAAAACAAATTACTGACCATTTAACTGTTTATTTACAATGAAACATCTCCAAATAAACAGTTTTAGTAATTTGGGTATTTAAAAAAAAAAAAAAAAAGGGGAGGGGGTCCCTTATTATGGTGGGCACATCCCTTATTTTCATATCCTAATGTTGATAGGTATGGCCTAACCCCAGCCCGACCCTGTCTAAAATGGTAAAAAATAAGCCTGAACCCGTTGGATCCTGTCAGGTTCGGGCAAAGATCTTCAGCTCTAGTCTAAACCCTCTGTCCATTATCATATATATATATTTTTTTTAAATCTTGAATTAAAGCTCGCAATTATACTGTACAATTAACCATCTTTTTTTTTTTTACATTAAATGAAATCAAATATTGTCAAACACCAAGAAATGTGAATAAAACAACTAAATTGAATTTAAAATGTTGTTTGCTTTACTGCCAGTTGATTGGGTGAGCAAAGTTCAACATTATGAACAGCAGGCTTTAAATTTGGTAATATGGCAAAAAAAATAATGAGTGAAGTTTTTCAAACTAATTTCGAGAGGAACACGTGATATAATTGACTGCAGCTGGCCTCCCATCTACACTCATTAGTTAGCCAATCAGATCTATCATAACTCACTATAAGTAGCCTAGCTAGATTTACTCCCTTATCTTCGTTTTCCGAAGAAACCCCCCCTTCCACCCCTTTCTCCTCCTTTAAAAAAGGGGAGCTCTCGAGAAACACCTGATCTCGTACTCCCCTCACATGCTCTATGGACCTGGCGGGAGCCCTGGGCTCAACTATCTCCGAGCTCAGGGTTCTCTCCCGGGACAGCATGCCAAACCTGCTAACAGTTGTCAAGCAATATCGAAGTGTGAACTCTTGAATAACAATTTAAATACAATACATATGTGATGTTCATTGAAATAGACAAAGCAGTTGTTGAAAGGATTAAAGAGTAAACAAATGATGTAATATAGAAAGATCTATTTTACCTTAGGAGAGCATTTGAAGTGCATGCCAGGCACGGGAAGAGTAGTAATGTACATGGTGATGCACCGGTAGAGGTAGAGCGTCCCGACTATGAAACAGAAGCGTCGAGCAACGATTGATCTGTGGACGGATGACATACAGGGGTTAATTATTTAACATCACACAACATATCACTAGGGAAAATCTCACAGTCATGGTAATGACAACTGAACAAACTTAAAAATGTGAATTATTTTAAATAAATATCATTTAAACAATTTTATGGTGGCACGGTGGCTCAGTGGTTAGCACTGTCCCCTCACAGCAAGAAGGTCGCTGGAATGAGTCCTGGCTGTGTGGAGTTTGCATGTTCTGCCCATGTTCCTCCAGGTGCTTTGGTTTCCCCCAAAGTCCTAAGACATGCGGTATAGGTGAATTGAATAACCTAATTGGCTGTAGTGTATGTGTGTGCATGTGAGAGAGTGTGTGGTTGTTTCCCAACACAGGGTTGCAGCTGGAAGGGTATCCGCTGTGTAAAACATATGATAAATTGGATAAATTTAATTCCAATGTGGCAACCCCTCATGAATAAAGAGACTAAGCTGAAGGGAAAAGGATGAATTATTAAACTATTGTGTTTTGCAAATAATAATTAAGATTAAATGTAAATATAATAAAATGTCAATTGTTATTGGTAAATATATTCTTAGGTGGGGTAATGCGAAATGAAATATTTAATGGCTTGTGGTTACTAAAATGAGTTTAACACAGCAATAAAACTAAATATTGCTTTAATAATTTCCATCTGCGTTCAAGTGTGAATAACAATGTTAAGCATTATAGTAATAATTGTTTAAGTGAATATGAAGATGCGCGAAATTCGGATGGAGGGCAGGAAGTGAAAAACTGAATAGGAGACATAAAGGAAAGTTCGTATTTTTGCTATTTACATGGATTAAATGGAAAATAAGCACATATGTTGGGTATTATCCTTATATCATGAAGAGGGTCGAGTTTTCAACTAAACTAACATATACAGTTGAAGTCAGAATTATTAGCCCCCCTTTGAATTTTTTTCTCTTTTTTTAAATATTTCCCAAATTTTATTTAACAGAGCAAGGGAATTTTCACAGTATGTCTGATAATATTTTTTTTTTCCTGAAAAAGTCTTATTTGTTTTAATTTCGACTAGAATAAAAGCAGTTTTTAATTTTTTAAACGCCATTTTAAGGACAAAATTATAAGCCCCTTTAGACGATATTTTTGTTCTATAATCTACAGAACAAACCATCGTTGCAATAACTTGCCTAATTACCCTAACCTGCCTAGTTAACCTAATTAACCTAGTTAAGCCTTTAAATGTCACTTTAAGCTGTATTAAAGTGTCTTGAAATATATCTAGTCAAATATCATTTACTGTCATCATGGAAAAGAGAAAATAAATCAGTTACTAGAAATTAGTTATTAAAAATATTATGTTTAGAAATGTGTTGAAAAAAAATATTCTCTCTGTTAAACAAAAATTGGGGGAAAAAATAAACGGGGGTGTGTGTGTGGGGGGGGGGGGACGAATAATTTAGGGGGGCTAATAATTCTGACTTCAACTTTATTTTCCAGTCATCAATGTATGATTCCGTAAAGCCTGTTTTTCCTTAAAACAAGCAAATTAATCGTCCAATGGGATTAACTAAATAATCTTGTTCTCACTTTGAAATAAGCAGATTAGCAGATGATTTTGATAGATTTAAAGAAAAACAAGAACACTAATTCTCGCATATTTCTGAAAACAAGACTGGTCTTTACTGGTCAAAAAAATACTTCTTAATTTAAGAATTTTAAAACATTAATAACTAAAACCGTTTTCCAGCATTCTTTGAAACATCTTCTTTTGTGTTCAACGGAGGAAAGTAGCTCATAAACTCATCTTTAACCACTTGAGAGTGAGTAAATATTCATTAAACCATCAGTAACTTCCCCATAACATTTGAAGCTAAAATAGGCCTAGGAAAGAAGTTCTTTTGGTTTAGAGTTTGATTACCCTTTAAAAACTTCCACTAAAATCCAAAAGCCTACACATCTACAATCCATGCCACTTTTAAAAACTCACTTGTGTTTTAAGAGACTCCACTGTATAATCCACAAGACGATCAGGACCATCCCGTTGATCTCGCACACAGTGAAAGCCCACTCCACCCTGCCAAAAAAGTCAAAGAACTTGTCGGGGAGCGGCGGAGTCTCTTCCTTAGGAGGCACGCGTTCGTGAACCACAGAAATAACAACGGTGGTGAACACGAAGCAGCATAAGGCGTAAACCAGAGCCACGGCGGTCTTTCCCCATTCAGGAGGAAACTGTGGAGAAACCGGCTCCGGCATGGGAATCTGCACCAGTTCCTTGTGGAAGCCATTCGCCATGCCGTTCCGTTGAGCCTTGACGCTACTTCCGACATTGCCGTTTTGATTCAACACCATGTGCCCATTGGTGTGTCCATTCATGTGATGCTCGATCTTAAGAGTCTCGATCTTTTCCAATAGTAGACGACCGCCGTCTGAAGTGACTCTAGAGAGAGGAGTCCTCTTGAAGTCTTCTGTTGTAAGATTTAATAAAGCCAGTCCGTCATATTTTCGCAGTGCTTCCGAGTACTCCTGCAAACCCTGATCGGTCAGCCAGAGCGAGACCTCGTCCTCTGACCACGCCGCTACTTTATTCATATCAGCCCTTGAGGTTGAAGGAGAATCCCGGACGCTGCTAGAAAACGCAAGGTGCTTGTCCGATCATGAGGACTGGCTTACAAATTCCAGATCACTCCTACAACCTCTTCAGAGATGTCTGACCTGTAATAGAACGGACATATTAACATGGTTGTTTTGAAAGGGCTCAACTAGATTATCAAGACAGGGGTTTACAATTATTCTTAAGCCGAATTGGTGTTCGTATTGATAATTTTGTCATGGACCTGAGGATGGTTAATATATGTAATGATATTTACAGTTTTATTTACAAGAGTTTGATTTACTTGTCCATTTTGCACATACAGTACTGTGCAAAAGTTTTAGGCCAATGTTAAATCTGTTGTTTTACTGATGGTATACAGGAGCGCAACTACACATTTACTGAGGGGTATGCGGGTTTAAGTTTATGTTTTGTACATTTGTGAAAACAAAAGGATAGATATGGGAGCTCTAAAGAGCAAAAGAACATAAAACGTTATAACTTCTCATATGCAAGGTAAAAGGTCTGTCTTTGCATGAACTATTGACGGAAACTGCTATTACACCCCTCACAAAGTGAAATAAAAAAGACTGCAAAATGTTTTGTGTGAAAAATAAACAGACACAAACCACCCGAAAAGTTCTATTTTAATAAAACGTTATAGGCATTTTTTTTTTTTGTAACTAAAATTAAAATAGTTTTGAGTAAAAAAAGACACCAAAAGCCCCGATGTAGAGGTCTGCATTCCCGCGGGCGCCGCAGGACCCGACCAGATTTCTGCGGCGCGGGAATAAATTTCCGAATAAATCGCGGGAGCGGGTTTAATTTGGGACGGGAGCGGGCTGTCTAGCAATATCGCGGATATTGCTATGCGAATGAGAGAGAGAGAGAGAGAGAGAGAGAGAGAGAGAGAGAGAGCGAGCGAGCTTTGCCTGTGTGTGTGCTTGGTGCTTGTGTGTGTATGTTAGTGCGCGCGTGCGCGAATGAGAGAGAGAGAGCTTTCCCAGATAGCAAAATACACTCGGGCCAGTTCCGGCTAGATTCTCGCCTGCCAGAGACTTACCATGTAGCCCGGCTCCGGCTGCCAGACTCCGGATGCTTGTGGACTCACTGCCCGATTCCGGCCCTAATCAATCGGGCCAGATGCGGCGGCCGTAAGCGAGCCGACGCTGCCGCATCCGCGCCGGAATCGGCCCGAAAGTAATGTGCGCTGCGGCCTGGAGCTGGCGCGACTCAGTATTTATATACCTTTATATAAATTCTTTTGGTATTACATTGGTACTTGATACATGGTATTACAAGCCTTTGAGTAGATATAACAGCAAACGCCTGTGTGTCTGCTTGGTACTTGTGTGTAGGTTAGTGCGCGCGCGCGTATGAGAGAGAGAGATTGGTCTGTCACTGTGTGTGTGTGCTTGGTGCTGTGTGTGTGTGTTTATACAGACAGCTTGGCTGTCTGGACTGTATAGCTGGGGGATTTTCGGTTTTGTTCTCCCCCGCTCTTTAGCGGGATCGGGCGCGGCGGCCAGAAAACGGGGCGGGTCGGGCAGCGGGACAATAAATTCTTAATATAAGCAAGAGCGGTCGGGTTCGGGCTAAAACCAGGCGGGTGCGGGATTCAAAATTTGGTCCCGCGCAGATCTCTACCCCGATGTATCAATATGATACATCATAAATTTTTAAAAACATGTATTTGGTATAAAATGGATCTTGATAAAAGGATTAAACACTTCAGTTCCAAAGACTGTGAATATTCTGACTTTTGTTCATGTGTAAGTTTTAATAGTTTAAGAATCATAATTATCAAGTATATTAAATCTATATAGGGGAATTTTAATCCAAATACTAAATCTGAAATACCTGCTCATGTGAAAAAGGTCTGTACTTACATAAACATACATTTTGTGGGATCCCTCTTATTTTGGCAAAATAATTAATTAATTATAAATAATAATAATAATAAATAAAGAAAAAATTCAGATTAATTTTATGATTTTTGACCTCAACTGTGTATGTATGATTTGACAGTTTATTTTGATCAGTTACATCTACATGAATACTTTACACTTGGCTGTGTGACTGCATGTTATTGTGTTAAATGATTTTGAATTAAACGTTTGTGCCAGCGTATGCAATTAATGGTATATTTTTTTATTTAATAAAATACATTATTATACTTGTATAAAATAAGCAATTTTAACAAAACATATTTATTTATTTTTATTATTTAAATCTTTTAATAAGGATAATTTCAAAAATAGTTTTGGCACAATGGCGCCCCCCCATGTGCAGCGCCCCTATGCGCCGCATATACCGCATACCCCCTTTTTGCGCCACTGATGGTATAATGGATAAATGTTCTCTTATATGATATAATATATGAATCTTTACCACAAAACCAGTCATAAGTGTCATTTTTTTTAAAAATTGAGATGTATACAGGGTGAATAATTGATCTTTCGGTTGATGCATGGTTTGTTCAGATAGGAGTTAGGTTAGCGTTTGAATTATTTTGGTTTAATTTTTTTGTTTTTCATCTTAAGAAGAGTTAAGAAAGCAATATTTGGTGGAATAACACTGATTTTTGACTCATTTTATTAACAACAAACAAATAAAAAAATGCTATAGGTGGCAATTTTGCAATATGAAATTTCAACCAGACCTTTATATAATTAAACATTTCTTTTAAAAACCCTCCAAGTTTAATTGAATTATCAAAATATAAGAAACATTTTATTTGGCAGGGGGAACTAAACGCTAAACTCGGTTCAGCCATTTAACTGATATGAAAAACAAAACTGGAAAATGACAGTTTAAGACAGTTCATGCCAAAAAGTGCATAGAAAACAAAAAGCTCACTAGAATGATTGTACGCACAGGATAATCAGTTATTAATATTTAATGGATTCTCTCTTACTTTTGATCAGCAGCTGCTCTCCTACAAAACTAAAGCTGAAACCAAATAAAAGAAATGATACTACACATAAATACACAACTCTATTCTATATATTTATAACTATATTTTATATTTTACTTTAATATATGTTTTAATATAGTTAATCACACACACAGACATGTGTGTATGTGTGTTTTTGATCAACTATATTAAACAAATATCCATCAATCAACAAACTTCTCAGGAAACACACACACACACACACACACACACACACACACACACACACACACACACACACACACACACAAAGTTCTCATTTATGCAGATTTACATTCATGTGTGCGCAAGTGTGTGTTTGATCAACTATATTAAACAAATACCCAGCAATCAACAAACTTTACAGGAAACACACACACACAGTACTGAAAAAGTTCCCATTCATTCACATTTACATTCTACTACAAATCAAATTTCAAGCATTTCGAAATATTCATCTTACAAACTCAGCCAAGTGTGTCTTAACAAGATATTACATGTATAGGATGGCAAGATTCAGCTACAACATTTAGAAAGCTATGCAAATACATATTAAAACTGCTCAAAATCACATGCAACACTTTTACTCACAGGTTTTGCTTTCCTCCTGAGTTGATGATAACTTAGTCATAGTATAAACTCCTCAAAAGAAACTTTTTCAAACTACGCAACATCGCAGCCACATGGCCAACATGGCTATATATCCTTCAGCTGCATTTAATCTTTTTCCAAAAAAGCCCATATATTACTAAGAACCGGCACGAGCTGAAGCAGAAACGCAGTGATCAGGACCACATGCATCGGCCGACTGAAGAATTCCAGGAGCTGTGGAGTGTTTAACGGGTGTGGCAGCACTGTTTACATTACAGCAGCAGGGGGAAGGGAACTATCTGACACCCACAACATCTGGTTTACGTTACTGAGGATGTGTATGCCATGATTTCATTGGCTACCTTAATGAAGTCTCTTTTGAACCCATTCACTTTGCCACAAATATATTCAAAATAATCTATTTTGTTTTAAATAACAAGATAAATTGTACTTTTTTGGTGAGGTACTTTGTACCCTAATTATGATTAATTATGATATGACAGTATATACATATACAGTTGAAGTCACAATTATTAGCCCCCTTGTATAATTTTGTTACCAATTTCTATTTTATGGAACACATTTCTGAACATAATATTTTTAATAACTAATTTCTAATAACCGATTTCTTTTATCTTTGCCATGATAACAGTAAATAATATTTTACTAGATAGTTTTCAAGAGACTAGTATTCAATTAAAGTGCAATTTTGACTAGACTAATTAGGTTAACTAGGCAAGTTAGGGTATTTAGGCAAGTTTATAGTGTAAAACGATGTTTTTTTCTGTAGATCAGTGGTCCTCAACCACCAGGCTGCAGACCGGTACTGGTCCGTCCGCCGCACAAGAAATCATTAATTATTAATGTTTTATTTATTATCTGAGTCGTAACGATCTTTTATTTTGAAAAGTCTTTTATTTTGAAAAGTTACCTTACTTTCTCGCTTACATCTCAGTCACTTAAGTGCCAAAAATTAATCCACAAGCAGCAAATGGAGCAAGAAACAGATGTCTTTGGAAAGTTTTCTTGCGAAGGGGAAAAGGCCCAGTGAAGGATCCACGAACTGCCAAGGAATGGATCTGCAACCCACGCAAATAATGATGCAACGCAAATAATGATGGCTTTTTAGGGGCTGTTTGCGAACTCTATCTTTTCTAGAGTTCGCCATGAGACCTGAAAGAGTTTGGCTCATGTGGTCAACATTTCAAGAAGATGCTGCTTCATGCACTGCCAAAGCAAATCCATTTTACATACACTTACATTCCTAAAAAAATCTGACATTTTAATATAGTAACACCTAAAATGTTATAGCTGTTGTGTTTAAAACGGTAGAGAAGTTCAGAGTTCATAAATGAGCGGAAAAAGCAAATGAAAAGCTTTCAGACTCCAACTACAGTTTCGTTTTGATAAATTGCAGCGTTGAGCAGTAAGCAGAGAGTAGGTGGTTTTATGTGGGTGTTCAATCGAATTCAACCACATCTGGTCTAATACATTTTAAGCTACCACTGAATGTGTGTAAAGGTAAACAACCTCAAAGCCTGTTGGACACCATTTCAATGATCAGATTGATGAAAACATCTTAAAACTGGGCTTTAG